ATGTGTTAAGGCGGGTTTATTCTGAAATTTCAAGCGATGCAAAACTAAAGTTAATGTCTCCCTAATCGATCCTTAATATTTTAAAATATATATAAAAACACGGGAAATAAACGAAAAGTTTTTATATTAATTTGGATTTAAACCCGAGCAATTCATTGTTCTATTGTATTGCTCTCCATAACTTTGAATATATGGGAAACTTTTTTCGTCACTTTTCTTAGCAAACTTAAATTCTCATTCCCCTTACGAAAGTAAGATATCTAAAAAAGCAATAAAGCCAACTTGATAAAATTTTCATGTTTGACTTTTTGCTCGGACAATTGGCTCGGACGCGAACCTAAAAGTCTTGTATTCCGTTTAGTGTAAGTAAAATAGTGACTGCTCAATTCAGATAGATCGGATCGAGAAGTTTTTTAATCATTCTAGTTCAGTTACGAGGCAAGAAAATTTAGAACAAAATAAAACCAATTCCATCCTTTTATAGTTAAAACCTAGTTTGTTATCGTGTTCTTAAAAATCTACTATTTTAATTTCCACCATTCGATATGTCTGGTCTTTTTAACTGTAGTGATTGAAGACTCCTACAAGAGTGTTTTTTCACTCAGAACAAGTCGGCTTGCAATCTGGGATAAAAATATTTTTATATTTTTCAAGATAAAAATAAAAAACATTTTTGTGCAAGTCCACTTAAAGTGCTCTATTTTTGCAATTGTTGCATGAAGCGTTTCCTAATTATCGTTAACAATTTTCTCAAGAGGCTAGTGTAATAATTTGTATAGCTTTTATAAAGAAGATAACAACTTGCAATTGCGTATGTTATTTCGCGCTTCCGTTACCGGAAGGGGCGTAGCCAGCCTGACGATTTTGTCCCGGTATGTAAATTTCGAGTTATTATGATTATTCATGTCTTTATAGAAATCTACTGTTTTTACTGTCAGTGAACACCGAAATATTAACATAGCGGGACAAATCGACAGGCTGGCTACGGTACTGGTTACCGATGAACGTAAATAAATTATGATTATTTCGTGCTGGAGTTATTAACAATTCAATGTTATCCTAATTTACAAGCTCGATAATAAAAATAACACTGAAATTAGCATAAATGTACATCTGCCAATGCTCCTAGATCCGCTCAGTCTCCATGACAAATGTAATCGCCTATTTCGTTAATTCTATTTTAAACGACGCTAGACGAAATTACAATTGACCGTGTTAAAGCTAGCTGATTGTATTCATATTCGTTGCGAATTGCAGAGTTTGAAATTTGGTCAAGAAGACTATGACAGTCAGGGAAATATCGCTATTTACCATACTGTGTCTCTTCATGCTTACTTTCAGTAGAGCGGCTGTGTCAAAAGGTAATTTATTATTGCATGAGCAATATGTGCAATAACATTTTAGCGAAGTTTATATCGTAGTAAGGTTATTAGGTAGACTGCCGCGTCAATAAACGCTTCTCGTTGATGGTTGCCCTTCTCTAAACTAATTTCTAACCCTATAGACATGTATACTAATGTTATTCATATTATAATGAGGTTTTAATGCTGTAACGTTCTTGCTGTCTATGACCAGCATCTTTTTAACTATTTAATAATGAGTAGAATTTACATTTTACGAGTTCACTCGATGTGTGGATTTTCCCGTTGGAAATTGGACCTTGAGTTATCGCCAGAAATTTGTCAATTAGACCGCAAGTTATCGCATTGTCATTTACCTGAAATTAATCGACCAAGAAACAGAATGAACGCATACATGTGAAAGAAGTGAAATGCAGAAAATGTTATCATGCGTTGAGATAATATACTTGGCTGTGAGCTGACTTTGATGTCAATTTATAATGACTGTTATCGCGGCATAGTTTATAGAGAGAACAGCTCGATTTTTTGCCTGGTAAAGATGCAATAACTCAGCGTATGTTATCAAGGCGAAGCGAGTGGCGGATTCAGGGTTAGTCAGAATAAATTACTACAGCTCAAAATCGTAATCGGATTGGCAATTTTTTATTTAAGATATTCTGTAGAAGTAACTTATTGCGTTGTTATTAATATTCTGCCTAACCCTAGATCCGCCGCTTGGTAAAATTACCACAAACTTTGGAATTTTGAACATCGATCTTTGTCAAATCGCTTTGTATAATATAATATATTGTAAAGAAAGGAGTATTAGTCAAAACACATGCATTTCTTCTAATTTATATTTGTTTGCACTTAACGTATAGCGTGCAGGATGCACTACGCCTAGAGGTCTTAATCAACTGCGAATCAGCGTATATAAGTTGAAAACAAAAATGCATTTTAAAGTAAAGTAAATATTTGAAACGGTTTAGCCGATAACCAACAACAGATCCGAACAATAATTTTAATGTTGAATGAATAATTAAACAATTTGCAGGGATAACTGAACTTATTTACATGCATGCATATACAGGGTGTCTAAAAAAACGTAACACTTAAATATGCAAAAATATTAATATTGTTCTGGTTTGCACCATAGTTCGGCTAAAATGACTTTTAGCATTAATTTTTAAATGAAGGATTAAGAGCCATTTTCAATTCCCAGAGGTGCTTATCCATTGCGCTTTAGAGCTGTATTAATGTTCTTGCATATTTAATAAGTGGTTGCGTTTTTTTTGAGACACCCTGTAGTGTACAGGATACACAAAATACATGAAACAGGTACCGGGCAAGTCATGACTCATGAAATGCAGGTCGGTAAGTGGTGATTTCAAGATGTGGGCTCAACGAGGTTCAGTTTTCAATTCATTATTTAGGTCAGTGTCGCTCTATTCGACAAAGACAACATGGCGATTGTTTTTATTTTATGAAACAACTACACAATCTAATACAGATACAGCTCGATCATGAACAAACACAACTATACAAAAACTAATAAAATGGATAGTAATATAAAAAAATGACACACTTATCGATGCAGACGACGCCACTTAGCTGTTCAAATAATAAAAATATATAGTTGTTGAATATTTAATATTTAAGTTTTGCATCATAAGAACAGCATTGTATTATAGCAATAGCTAAAAGAAAATAATGGTGATTGAAAATTACCATTGGTAAATAAAAAATTATCGCGTTGCATGCATGGGAGAACACATTTTCATGTATTTTTAAGCTTGTAAAATGCGATGTAAAAAAGCAAGTTAGAACCTTTTCGAGCCAGATCTGATGTAGACATTATTTTGCCGATACCCGCCTGCAACCGCAATACGTGAACTGTAAGGTACCTAATATCTAGGTGAGGTACCTAGTACCAAATTTTCGATGGTTTAACATCGATAAAATTCATGATGTCAGTTTTGGACGTGGAAAAACATGACTTCTCAATTGTGAGTTACATAGAAAAAAATTTTAATGATTCCCTAGTATTCTTATCTAAGAGGTAACCCAAAGTTAGCGCCAAGTCGCGCATGCTTTGCAGGAACCACACAGCCATGTTGGTGCTCACGTGTTTAGGACGCACGGCCGAGTAAGTGGTGGCATAAAATACTTACTCTAAAAATTATGATGATTTTACTGCAACTGTATATAAGGTGTGTTTCCAAATGCTCGAATTAATGACGGAAATGGCTTGTGTTTCACAGAGCAATTAGGTTGTGAACTTTTTTCAGGTATGATATTATACAGTCAAGCTGCGCACGAGTTCTGCTTAAAACAACATACCGATATCTCAGGTTTTTGGGCACGAACTTTGGGTCTTTTTCATACCAATTATTGTTTCGAATCTGCATGAAAAAAAATTATTTTAATCCTGGAAACAAAGAAAAAACTGATAATCACAACTGGAAAAGTTAAGTTCAACAGCGGAGTTCCAACTTCTCGTGCTTAAGATCAACAATTAGACTTTGTTAAGAATTGCCGTGGATAAAAGAATCTTTTCCGCTCAATATTGGGCTCGGAGTATCGTTTTTCGTACTGGAAATCAGCCTTTAGTAAAAAGGTGTATTATTATAAAGTCAAAGTATGTATAAATTCAAAGGCTATTTGGAGCATCTGAAACGAGATATGAATCATAAAATAAGTCACAACACTCAATAATATATAATTATTCATTATATCATTCTGAAGTTACCTTTGAAAAAATATCTTGAACTTGAAAATAACTTCAAAAAGAAGTTGAACTTAGTCGCTGACAGACATACGGACTATGGTACCAATTTTGTCTCGCCTGATCATTTTTTATATCATTTTTTTATTATGGACATTTTGTGCATCAGCACCTGATGCCGCAAAAACCGACCGTAAACACAAAATTGTTTATAACAAACTTTTTAAATTGGAATAAAAATTTCTTATTTTTTTCAGCCAACGACGAAGAATTCAAGCTGGTTGACTTTTTGTTTAACCAAAGTCGCTATGATAAACGAATACTACCTTCTATTGGCTTAAATTCGCCAACAAATGTCAGCGTTAGCTTGACAATATATCGAATTGAGGATTTGGTAAGCTATTAATTATGACGCTTAGATATAGTCATTTAAGTTTTCTGTGTATAGAATTTCTTTGTGCGTACGATTTTTATTTCATATTCCACACGAATTTTTTTCTTTTATACATAAATATCTTAGAAAAGCTCATTAAGTTTGCAAAGTTTAAATGTTATATATTTATAGGACATCTGATACATGACTTGTAATTATATAATCACACCGCTATACTTTTTTGTTATGTATCATGGTCTTACTCGACAATTGAAAAACCTTGAATTGTCAAAATCTATGAGTGAGGTAGTGTGTATGTTTTTATTCTCTCTCTCCACCAATTATAGACCGGAAATATTCTTGTTATTCTTTTTGATATAGGTGGAAAAGAACCAAGAACTTGTCACACACGCAGTACTTCACTTGGTAACCATTGTTAACTACTGACTAGTGTTTCTTCGTTGTATAATTTATTAAGAAAAATAAGTTATATAATAACGTTAAAAATTAAAGCAATTTCATTGGTCGAGAGCTATCTTCTATAATAAGACAGACGCAGGGAATGACGTCACGGAAAATGTTAACGAATTTGATCAGTTATCGCTTGTTTATTTTAACAATTTGCTTTAACAATTTCCAAAGTGTTCGAGAGAACAAAAACGAACTATTTTTCTGGTTAATTTCGGATAATTTTTCGCCCCGGTGGCTCGTTGCCAATTTTTTGTTCTTATCAGAAGTGACATCATACTGTGTATACATAAGTGAACAAAAAACGGTTCAGTGTTATTTATTTATAGACCTGGAAAGATCCGCATTTAAAATGGAAACCCCTAGAGTTTGGTGGAATTAAAGAAATTGTAATAAGTGCCAAAAATATATGGCTACCTGACATTGCACTTTATAACAGGTATATATATATCTATATTGATATAGTCCTTCCCGAAAAAAGGTCCACACAAATATATATTGTCTGAACTTTTTTGGGAAAGACTGCATATATAAAAATGGTCTGTAGTCATTTAGTATACACCCTACCATTGTCTATCACAAATCCTACATTCTGATTGGCTACTCAACCATTGTCTATTCGTGATGGTGCACGCTTGGGAAAATTTCGCTCGCGCGACCGTATAAAATTGAATTATTTTTCGGTGTAATTGCGGTGTATCGATTATTTTCTCGAAATTAATATATTTAGGTAAGGGGTGCATACTAAAACAATTAGACAACTCGCCTTCGTTGTCTATGAGCGAATAGTCAACGAAGGCGAAGCCTGAGTTAACTATTCGCTCATAGCCTGAGTTAACCATTCGCTAATCGGACTCGTTGTCTAATTGTTAAATGGGGTTCGGTATAGTTTTCATCCTCGCGATATTTTATTCCTCAGGTCTTTAACTATAATAAATATTCTTCGCCTAATTTAGTGATCACCAGTTTCGTCCCTTGAAACTGAGTGTTGTTCGACCAACAGTATATTATGATGGAGACGTTTCTGGTAGTATTCCTATTATGCCAAAAACCACATGCAAAGTTAACGTAGAAGATTATCCGATGGACACACAGAAATGTAACATGGTATTTGGTTCGCTGACACATCATTCGATAGAGATACGAATAAAGAGCTTGGTAGGCATTATCAATAGAAGATGATTACCAATAATATTTTTTCACCAACTGCATAAAATTTTCCGTTATACACAATGGAGGGAAATTATCTTGAATCATAAGGCCGTATTTTGAAATTTAAACGACATTATTCTAAGTTCAGCATATAAAAGCAATTGATTGATGTCGTAAGGAAGTAATACAAAATGAATAAATTTAAAATTTTCGTTAACTGGGTTTAAGCAATTGGTATATTTAATCAAAAGTGTAGCGTTACAATGGTTAAGTTTTTGCATGAATGACAGTATTGCTGAGTGGGTAGAAACCGTAGCAGACACAGTGAGTCGCATCATTTGTGGTTAGACGCATCATTACTTTCCGTGTTGATGGAAATCATCCTTTCCATCCCTTCTTTCTATGTAGTTTTCGCGTTTTAATATTTCATAAACGAGTGCGAGTGTTTTACCGGGGTTTCCAAACACGTGAAAATAATTGAATTCACAAGACTGTTCACCAAGCGATTTTTATTGTTCTCGAGAGTTTGTAAAACACGAAAGGCAATGAAAACACGAGGCCGGTACGGCCGAGTGGTTTTTATTGTCTTGAGTGTTATTTATTTTTCTGTGTAAGCGTTTATTACTTTTCTAACACTCGAAGTAAATGTTTTTGGGCACGCATGCAGTATTAATCTCAAGTTCTCTACTGTAACGGTTTAATGAAATCCATTGTTTTTCAGAAGAAGAAATTTGATCTGAAATCATACATAATAAATGGTCAATGGAAAATTATTGGGACTTCGTTGGAAGAGAAATTGGCGCCGTTACATAACAGTTCAGAGAACTTTTACCAAGTAGTATTCACTCTTAATCTTCGCCGCCGTGTTCTGTACTACATGATGTACTTGATCATACCTGGCACCTTGATTGCTCTCTTAGCTTCAATCATATTTGTCCTTCCTCAAGATTGTAGTGAACGGATCACTGTCGGTGAGTGAGAATTCTTATATCTATTTCGAAAGTAAATTTACAATCAGAATAAAAAGCGAAGTGACATGGGAAAACGGAGTAATTACTGCATGCATTGATGCGTCGGCTTTTTCAAACTGTAAAAATAATTGCGGACATTATTGTACTGTATATTATCAGATAATTGTTGAGCGGAAAAAATGCAATATCCCCCTAAAGGTAATTTTAAACTACGTGTATTCATAGCCTTAGCTAGAAAGAACATTACAAAGCTAGTAAAACTGGGAAGTTAGGTTGTGAAATATTCAAAATGTTGAAAATGTTTGTATTAAATTAGTTATTATAAAAGCGAAAATGGGCTGCCAATTTAAAAAAATTTCTGTATGGTAGCTTGTACATAGTAGGATCATTACTATATTAACTCTTAAAGATATCGTATATGCATGTATACCAAAAGATCACGAGCTTGCAATAGACACTTCCCGATTTTGTTCTCGGGCAATGAGAACCATCCCACTAACAATATATTACATAGCCTGCCTCGTTTTTAAGCTTTTGTTCTGTTTTCACTAAAGTAAATTCGGAAAGTGTCTATTGAGTCTATTTCGAAGTTAAAAATAATATTTTATAATGATAGGAATGGCAATTCTTGTCGCCCTGTCGTTTTTCTTCTTGTTGGTGTCAGAAAACATGCCAGCAACAGGAAGCATTTCAGCCATTGCAGGATATTATGCCGTAACAATGGTTCAAATGGCTATATCTTTCTTCCTTAACGTTCTTATTTTACGATTCCATCACATGACCGAGGAAAAAGTTCCAAATTGGATCAAGGTGAGGATAAGTGTTTATAGTTTTGATAGTGAATAAAACAATTACGTAAAATATTACCCAAAACATATTTGAAAGTATATTATTTGTACTACAACCTTTTTCACTCTTTTCCTACCCCACGTCTCATCAAGTGGCGTAATACTTGGCTAAATTCGACCAGAATTTCTCCAATAATGCACAGAATTTATTGAAAAAAATAATAATTGTGACCATGCACGATGCATGGGTCTCCAAAATTTCACAATCGCTTAGATAGACATATTTGCAAAGAATCCGTTTTACTAGTTATTATTATATGAGAGAAATCATCTTACGTGGATTGCATGATATATGTAACTGGAAAGCCAGTATTCTAGTTTGCTCCAAAAAAACTTGGAATAAGAGACTGACTTGAATTTGCCATTTCCCAATCGAGCAGGGTACTGGGTCTAGTCGTGAACCGCAAAGCAACTATGGACTGTTTGGAGGGACAAATTATTTCAGACTTATATTTCCTGTCCCTCGAAATAGTCCATAGATGCTTTGCGGTTAGCAACTAGATCCAGTACCCTGCTCGATTGGGAAATAGCTAATATACAAATCATAATTTTGAAACCAATATTCACCATTCAAACATTGTATGAAATAGGAAGACAATACCCTTCTTCCTCTATAGGTGGTCAGTATTTTTTTCAAGGTGGCTCCCAACAATTTTAAAGATATTGAAAACTCATGATTTAGAATTAAAATTTTTTGAGCAAGTTTCTTGCTAAAAAAAATGAAGTTTCCCAGATTATTCACCAACATTCGAATAATAAGAAATTGTCCATAAGTATGACGTCATTGCCGTTGTTATGTTAATAATGGCGACTCAGTATGGCATTTTGCTCAAAAACCAGTTCGGTTTCCCGAATTTTTTTTATTTTATAAAAACATTTCTTACAAAAAAATGGAAAATTTGAACATGTTTGAAAAAATTCTGTTGAGGCAATATCATTACATATTAAAAAACCGAAAAATCTAAAGACGTGATTTTTCGTGATAAACATTTTTTTGCTCGACAGAATTTTTTTTAATCTTCCTCGAATTTCATAAAATAAAAATGGGGGCAATATAACTGAACTTCTTTTCGAATAAAATGCGTTAATAGATGAAATGTTGCCCATATTGAATCACCATTGTTACTATAACAACGGTAATGACGTCATACTTATGGACAATTTCTGAGTGTTAGAATGTTGGTTATTATATCTGGAAATTTTTTTTCCTTTAGCAAGAAATGTACTAAAATTTTTAATCTAAATCACAAGTTTCAATATTCTTAAAATTTCACGGAGACACCTTAAATACAAAAATATCCCTTTTGGGAAAATTAGACGTACACAACCTAGATTTTTGTAGTTGCAATTGTATTCTGTACAACTCTATCATATGTACGTGAATTTTTTTCCCAGAAATACATCTTGCATCATGGAGCCAAACTCCTTCGAATGAAATTTCGACCCAAGAATGATGGAAAAGAAAATCTGAAAGGGCGAATTAAATGGTCGGGATTAATGGAACGTATGTCCATACATTTCAATTATTAGTTTTTGCCCTACGTTGCTTAAAGAAAAATGATGTACTTGTATATTATCCTTCTATCAAATTGTCAATAAAAGCCTACGTACATGCCCTTTCTTCTTTAAGCTGTGAAGATAGTCGGGTTCCTACTTTTCACGTAAGAATATTTCCGAAATGTGAATTTAACAAAAACAGTTCCATATAGCACCAAAACAGGAGCAAATATCCTGTTAGGGGCCCTATTCCCGTAGAAAATTGTCAAAAAAAATTCCATGCAATTCTGTATTACAGTAATGCAACCGCCGAAGCTTAGATGTCATTTTTCGGACAATGCGGGAACTTCAAACAATGTCCCGCGGGTCCTTCTATTTTCTTTGGGTTTTTTGGACATCACTTTTTAAATAATAATATTGCAAATATTCGATTTCGTGGAAAAAAAACGTACATAATCTTCCCTAATCAAACCCTTTTAGTTGACTATTTCACTTAAACTTTTTGATGGGATCGATGAATTCGAATATATACTAAATATTGTAGCTATATACGCTTTTCTTCTTCAGGCTTTTGTTCAAAAATGGTAAAAAAAAAGACAAAGCGAAATCTCGACGAAATTACTATATTAAATAATTTTGACAAACCAATCAAGCATTTCTTCGAAACAAAACGAGAAATGGCAGCGAGAGATGAAGAGTGGAAAAAAGCAGCTGAGGTACTCAACAATTTCTCGCTGATTTTTCACATCCTGGGAGTAACGCTCACGTTTGGATTGCTTTTCTTGGAATATCTATTCACATAGACGCAAATTATTGGAATTCATCTACCGATTAGATTTCAGTGGCGTAGCTAGCCCGACAATTTAGTCACGCTATGCTAATATTTTGGTGATCATTGACTTTGAAAACAATGAATTTCTAAAGAAATGAATAATGATAATAACCTAAAATTTGCATAGCATGACTAAATCGTCAGGCTGGCTACGCCACTGTTAGATTTGCAGTAACAAAAAGCACCTTAAAAGAAAGTAGGTATACGACGTCGAAGAACGCATAACGGTAAAGTTGGTGAACAACAAAAAATATAAAAATAAGAAGTGTTTAAACCTTAGCAATTGTTCTCTTCTTTCACTTAGATTTCAGAGCAAAATTTGTCAATCACCTCTAAATACAGCATGCACGTGTGTAACTGCAATGTCAATATAAATAATTATACATTAGTAAATCAATTATTAATAATTGATATCAATATTTGAGTGTCTGTTTATTACACCGCTAAAGCTCTCCCTTGTACATGCAAATATCGAGTTAAATTTTTCCAGGAAATTGTTGATGATCGTACAACCAAATGAAATCATTTCAGTTATTAACACTTAGCTACAGGCTTAGATCAATAAAATATTGCAACAGGGCCGATTTTAAACTGTTGCAACTGAATTTAAAGAGCTTTATTTTATTAGAAAAACAAGTTAAACAGATAAAACGCTAAAATACACAGTCTTTAAACTTCGTGCGTTTGCATGCGAATTGCTCGGAACTTTAGTAAACCTGCCGGCTCCTTGCTGCAGAATTTGTTTTGAGAACTCAAAAGTTTATTCATCAAAAAAATTCTTCATAATGACGCGCGCCCATTCGCAAAGAAGTCATATTGCTATCCAATATAATCACTTTATAAGTTTATTTTTATTACTTAATACCGAGTAGATTATCCCGGTTCACACGGAGATTTTTGTGCAGTATGAGCGAAATAAAAGCTTAGTGATGTTTATGTTTGTCGTAAGGCTTTTACTATAAATAAATTAGAGTGCGTCATTCCTACAAAGAATACATGCAGTTTTAAGATTCATGCTGCCAGGGCGTTTGGCTTAAACCGTGGAAAGCAAAACAGGCCGTAGGATGAGCATCCAAAAGGTGTTTAGAAAACGGATTCCGTTGCACCCCTCGTAGAATTACATGAATCAATAGATAAAAACCTACTTTATCAGAATCCGTTGTTCCCCAAGCGAAACAGGTGCACAATTGGGAAAACAATCCCTGCAAAGTTTACTATTTTCGCGCTTCGAAATATTCGTACCGCTATTGTTTTAGTGGCAAATACGCATGCGGTCAATCTCGTACCCAGAGCCCGCGTTCCTTTTGGAAGGAAGCTTAGGGCTCTGGCATAATCCATTTTATTCTTTCATTTGATTGGTCGTTGCAATGTTTGAACTGCGCATACTCAAGATTCCAGATTTGAAAAGTGACCAATCAGATTAAAGTTGAAATTTTCGTTCTTCGCGCGCTTTCAAAATAAAAACAAACCTGGAATTATAACAACTACTGTCAAAAAGGGATGAATACCCCGCGAAAAATTGTAAGGAAAGGGTCAGCTTCTTTTCAGAGCAAATGCCGTGTTTGCAACAATGACATTAGTCAAGACAAACACCGTGTCGACTTGTTTGGTGCAAAATCTCGCAGAGAAGGCATACTTAAATGTCTGCAAAGATTTTCACCAAGTGAAATGTTACATGAAGACGATGGGCTTGCAAGGTACGTTTGCAGATCATGTGAACTGAAAGTTTTGGCAATACTCAAGAAAGAGCATGAGCTTAAAAGCTTATTCATGGCAACTGAAAGTGCGAATCGATCAGCTTGCGATAGGGAACGATTTAAAAGAGGTCGAGGAAGCGGGGAAAATAATATGAACATTGTAAACAGTGATCAGTCACTTGTTGTTGGCCTTCCTCTAAAAAAATCAAAGAATACAGCCAGGCCACAGAGTGCTGCAAAAATTACACTTGCACCTAAGTTTAATTATAAGCCACCGTCCTGTAGAATTGATCTGATGTCGAGATTTTCCAGTCTAAAGCCTGCCTCACCGGCTTGTTCGCCGTCCAAGTCCAAGATCACATCCAGGCTTGCACCGAATTTTAATATACCACTACAAACGCCGTCCTCTCCTTCCAATCGGACTCTAACCAAGACGAAAAGGGTACTCCCAAACTTATTTCAAAAGAAAGATCGGTCTACTGATATGGAAAAAGGAGTAGAAATTCTAAATGAAATGGTGCTGCATAAGGTAAATGCAATATATATTTTGTACATATACAACTAATTTTCTATTTTCTACTAAATTTATACATAGGCTACTATTATTGGCTATGTTCATGTTTATTTCATTCTCACAGAATGAGACAGTGGCCCTATTAACTCCTTCCAAACAACAAGAGTTATGTGCAGCTGTCATGAAGACAACGCCAAAAGAAATAGCCAGTGCGATCATGGGCATACCAGTTATCGAGCGATGTGTGAAAGCAATTATACTGGAGAAAATCGATAAGGATTGCAAAAGCCTCTGCTCAAAAAAATTTGCATCAATTCTTCGTACACCAAGATCAGAGCATTCTCAGCTGGCGAAAATATTTTGTTGGTCAGGTATTTTGAATGAGATGAAGGAAAGAGCTCCTGATATTTTAAATGTATTAACTACAATTGCTGCTCCCAATCTAATGCTTGATGGCCGACAAGTACCACCAATTTGTATGGCTTATGCACTTCTGATGAATACCAGAAACAGAGAGTTGTCAATGGTTCAAAAAATGAATACTGTAGTCATTGGAGCTGGTCATGCAACAGAGAAGGTATCTGTAAATTAAAAATGATAAATATATAGCTATATAACTGTTAGCCTGGTACATATAGATTTTGTCAAATTAAGGACTTGTGAAAATATATGAACATAAATTAATTAGCTTAATACTGTAGTTGCAGGTTATAAGCATTGATTAACTAACTAATGTTAGAATATTTTTCTTATTTTTGGCAATAGACTTTCAGGCGATTGGGTAAACTTGGTGTCACACAATCAAGGGACAATCTTCGCAACCTTATGGATGATGTTGGAAGTGATTGTGAGTCAACCATTCGTGATCTGATTTTGTTGAAGAAAAAGAATCTGAGGATTGTTTTTGATAATATAGACTTTAAAATCCTGGCTAATATCATCCTGAAAAATCACCAGAACTCAGATATTCATTGGATGGCACAGTATTGCACATTTGACAGATTTGCATCTGAAAATCTAGATGACACAACACCACTGGTTAGCAATATTGAAAGTTTTGAAAACAAAGAATATCTGTTATCTCAAGAAGAACTAAATAAACTAAAGTGTGACTTCACAGTACTGGTATCCAGAGTATTAGTGGAATTCTTTCCTTGCTTGTATTATTTGCAAAAGAATGTCTGCATCCATATACCTCACAGGTATAGGTATTTATACAAAGTTAGCATTATAATGTCAGGTTAAAAGTGGCATAATTCATCCAAACATCAACCAACATATGACTAGAAATCAAATATTATATGGTTAATATGTTGGTTTTTGCCATATCAATTAAGGCAGTTCCAAATTGCATAAACTGCATTTAGGAACTGTGATTAAAAAAGAATTATAGTCCCTTCACTGTTTAATTATTTTGAAATATTATATGCCAGGATATTGCAGGAGTTGCATGTATATTCATTTAAATGCTGGTTATAGCCTTCCCAGTGGGTTATTGCAATTCAACCATTTAATTACATTTCCAACAGCTTATAATTGAACAAAATTTTTCCCAAAAATTGTTCTAGGTTTGATAGAGATTTTTCAAAATTTTTGAATGCATGATCATTTAGAAATATGTATACACTGTATTTAATATATAGTAAATGTGCTTTTTACATGCAGGTACTCTAATGAAATGGCCGTAAAATCTACAGTCATTAGCTTGCCAATTCTTCCATTTAATCAATCAAAGCATTCTGATGTATGCAAGTATTTGGATCATATGCAAGAATTTCTGCTTAATGTTCACTCTCCAAAATATCAGTCATCCAGTACTGACAAGAAGTGCAGTACAGAAGAAAAGGAAAAGATTCTCAAGGGGGTAAATGTACCATTGTGTGGCGACTTATTGGGTAGAGAAAGAGTGACAGGAGCTAAGAAAACTAGACTTGGATGTGATCAACAATTTGACAAGTTTCAAAACATTACTGAATTTCCAGCACTTTGGCACACAAAGCAATCTTTTCTAGGGGTAGGTTAATATATACATGCAAAGAAAAATTTTTAAGAAGAGATTTATATATAGTGCATGGTCAAAGTTCAAAGCTATATAGTCAAAATTGTACTTATTTCACTTTATACTCTCTTTAAAGTACATTTGGGAACAACTATACAAACCCAGTCCTGTGAGTGGGAGAGAGATAGGAACTCTAGCTGTACCATCTCCGCCAGTTGTTTCATATGACCAATGTGTATTCCTCTGTAAAAAAGAACTACAAAAGTGCAGAAAATCTGATGCTATCTGCCACCAAAGCCTACATTTGCTGTTCATTCATGAAGTTTGCGGGTTTGAATAGTTTGGAAGATAGTACTCCATCCAAGATTGAGCTGCCAGCAGAGAATGCTAGTAATATTTTGAAGGAAACATTTTTGAAGAATACCGTTGGCCAATTTGTTGATGAATATGTTATGGTTGAGCTTCCTGCTGAAAAATCATGGCAAACACAACAGAAAAAACGACTTCAAGCCAAGGAAAAGCTCCCAAGAACTTGTACAGTCCCATCTTCGTTACCAGAGCTTTTATCAGGTACAGAACTTTAACTATAGTACAAAGTTGTATTCTTAACCTGCATGCAAACATAAAATGTATTTTTCTTTTCTTTGAAAAGGTCAAGTTGTAATATTGGTCCTCCAAAACACTACATCTGGGTACAAAGTTATTGGAGTTGGTAAAGTTGTTAATGTTGTAAACCAAGACACTATGAATGTTTCAGTGCTTGTAATTTCTATTGAACCAGATGCTCAAAATGTAGGACTAAGAATCAATGAAATTATCCTGTGGCCACGAAAGCTAATTGCCATTCCCAACATGCCCTATAAGGAAACCACATCAAATACAGAAGATAAAACATGTCAGTCATCAACTGATTGTGCACCTGATGAAGACAGACTTTTTAATTATGCTTCCCAGTGCATCCAACTGGGCATAATGCTAATGCAATTAAATGATACGAAAAAGAAGGGGATGGTGAGCGAAGTATCATTAACTGGAAACTATTGATGTTGTACTTTCGTGCCCGAAAGAGAGGCACTAAATATGCTTTTGAGGCAATGCGTGTGATAACACTCATCAAAGCTCTTTGTACAGAGAGAACAGCTCATCGTCTCATTCATGGTCAATTTGTCAATCTTAAAGGTGGATTGGGAAAAAATTGTGCAAATGACCTTGCAATGGAAATGATGATCAAGAATCACAAAGTGATGCTTAAAGGGATGTGTGGAAACAAGACCCTCAAGGCTGTTGAAAGAAGTACAAAGGCTTCACATGGCATAAAAAAGATTGTTGATGCTTATGATGAAATGAACAGTGTTCCACCAGATTCAACCAGCCATACCCATGCCTCTACCAAAGAAGACATAATAGAGATGGTCAGGATAATTAAACCTCTCAATCCATTCAAACATACTCCAAAAAGAAATTTACAGGCATTTTCAAGTATACAACAAAGTCCGCTTAATAATCTTGATACATCTTTGTTACACACGTGGCTAACAAGACATAAGAAACGTTTGGCAAGGGATACGTTATCAAATTGTGATGATGATGTTGATGATGACAGTATGGATGAAGATTTAGATTTGGAGAATGATGTTGAAGATGATTAAGATTTCAATGAGGTTATTAATAATTCATTACATTTATTCAGCATGTGTGCAATATTTGATATATATAATTATATATCTAAAACTTATAGTAATTCATGAGAAAAACACAAAGAAAATTGTTGTTTGAATACCCTAGCTAGGAAGAACTTACATAAATTAAGCCAACTTTCACCTCAGTTTTCTTTCAAAATACATATTAGTTTGAGATGTTGTGTAAACAACTCGTTTGTAGTGTCTCATTAGGTGTTCCAAACCTTCAAAATGATAATAAAAAAACTTGCACTTTGTCCTTGTTTTTCATACTGTTTTTCTTGTGTTGGATCAAACTCGTTGTTTATATATACAGTAACTTATTAAGGAACAATATGCTCTTATATAAATGTGAATAGAGTTATTTATAAAGGGGGAAATTTACCTCTGTTAAGTTCAGAAAGAATAGCAAAAATGTTCTTGGCATGTTCATCATCAAATATTGGTAATTTTTCTTTTATCTCTTCAATAGATGTGAGTTCTTTGGCATTTTGTACAATCATGTCAATAAGATCAACACTGAAACCAGTGGCCAAGCTCACTCCACCAACACAAGAAGGCCCAGATCCATGTAGACTTAATCGATAATTTACCAAGGCATCATGTAATGCTACTTTTTCAATGTCAGTCAATGATGTTTTACTACATGTACATATAGATAAATGTTTGTCATTAACATTCCTTTCATATTTGCTTTTCATAGGGGTGTCTTCATTATTTTGTGCACTATTAACCACACAGTCATCACACTCACAATATCTCCAGTGGAAGTCACAACAGGTGTGATCTGGTAAGTCTCGTTTGGGCATTTTGTGGCCAAAATGATGTAAGATCATCTCTCTCTTGCACTTGGGTTCCTGCACAAATTTCCGCATGACATCTGACATCTCCTTTTTTGCAGCTGATAAATCAAAACTATTGAAATAGATCAATGCTTGTGATAGTAAGCCATCTCTTCCACATCGTCCAGCCTCTTGAAAGTACTCTTCGATGGTATATGGTACACCAATGTGTATAACCCGCCTTATGTTATTAATATCGATTCCTATTCCAAATGACACGGTAACAAATAACAATCTTAATCTGGACTCCCCATTCACTAGCTCTGAAACAATTCTTTCTCTCTCAAATTTTGGGTACTGAGCATGAAACTGTGTGAACAATCTGTTTTTTGCCAAGGCAGCAGCACCAGGTGGATCATATTGACTAGTACCCAATGTTTGACTGAAGTACAAATAGCACTCACTAATTGTGTCAAGAGAACCATAGATAAGAGTTAATGGGAAGTCATGTCTCTTGGTTTGAAGTTCTTGAGCAAGTGGTTCAAGGATCTCAAGCAATTTATCACTGCCTCTGCTTGGTCTAGAAAATGAGGCAAAATTAATGTTGGGGCGATCTGGATTTACGGTGATAACAGCTGGCTGAGACATTCCAAGGCACTCCTTTATTTCCTTTTGCATGCTTAAAGTAGCAGTGGCAGTCAGTGCTACAACTGATGCATGTGGGAAATAGCTCGACAATACCCTTACGAAAATGTTCTATAGAATCCTATAGAATATGCTATAACATATTCTAAATCCCATAGAATATTCTATAGGACTTCTTATCCTATAGCATATTCCATTGCCATATTCTATAGAATTTAGAGATGCTATAGAATATTCTATGGCACATTCACAGTAAAATATTCTATAGAACATGCTGTACACAATATTCTATAGAATTTAGAGATGCTATAGAATATTCTATTGCACATTCACATTAAATATCCAATAATATATTCTATAGAATATGCTGTACACAATATTCTATAGAATATATGTTATACAGAATCAGACCTTTATGCAATTTAAAATATAACATTTTTACTACACTATTCATTGGTCGAGAATTATATTCGCATTTTTTGTAAGGTTCTCTCGACATACTTTTAAAGTCTTAAAGTTAAAATTCTCAGCAGAAATCATTCGTTTTGTAAAGACAATTCACGAATATTTCACACATATGACATATCTCATATGAGTCAAATCTGTTTCATAATATGCCCGTTCGCAGCTTAGATGGCGGGCGTTTTGCCCAAACAAGGCTGCAAGGTTATGTGGGACTTGTTTAACCGCCACGCATTATTTTCAAATTTTGAGCGCGTATTTGTCTGTAGTTTTTCATCCGTTGATTCAACGTTTTATAACTGATACTGGTAGAATTTAGTGCGTTTTTCTTTCGTATTTTAACATAAAATACGCATTCTTTGAATTTGTCAAAGAGGAATCATAGGAGGGTGGTGAAACGCGCTTTAGTATGCGAGGAGAATCAGAAGATATGGATAATTTTGTAAATGCGTGAAAGGTGACCAGGATCGTGAGAAAGAAAGGCTATGGCAATGAGAAATTTCTAAAGTTAAAAAAATAATCAAAAGTTCATTGACCCATCTACAACAACATGTGTATCTAAAGTATTGGAATTCAGTGGTGAGTGTGCTTTGTATATGCTATAAATGCTATATGTTTGTATAGGCAACATATGTTCTGTATACCATTATAATTAATCTCATAAATTTTTATTCACCTTTAGATTAAACTTTTTATTTGAACATTTTATTTACACCTTTTATTTATACCACCATAAATAGAGCCATTCCAACTAAAAATTATTTCTGTCAAGACATTTGCACTAGCTCTAGATAAATTTTATATATCATTAAAATTGAATTAAATATAAGCTAGGTCTCAAGTGTTTAATTGTGTGTTTACTGTTAAAATTTACAGATTTCCTTTTGTCCAAGCATCACACTAACCAAAGGTCAAAATGGAGCTCTATTAAAGCAATACTAAATGTGAAAGGTTTTGTTTATGCAGTGCCGTGGATGCAAGAACAACTTTCCATCACTGGAAAGGCTTCAAATGCCTAGCTTAATTCAAAGAAAAGGATGCAAAACCAAAGCCAGAGAAAGTTAAGAGTATATATGGTAAGCAGTATAATTGTTAGTAATTATGTCTGGTCTAAGTTAATATATCTTATATACATATCTTGGTTCAGTTATTGATGAGTTTTACCTTTTCTAGCTGTGTCTAAAGTATAGTGCAAAAAGGTTTGAGGGAAAAGAGGCAGACATATGACAAGTTATGGCACCAAAGATTAATAATATTGTGCAAGTTGAGAAAACCAAGTTGAAAGCATCTGGACATCAGTAACTATATGACATTCCATTTTCTACTATTTACATGTTCTGTACATGTAAATATATTTAGTATAATAGCCTAGTTATATTTTTGCTATTTTCTTGCACAGTCATTTTATTTGGTGGGAAAACTGCAGTATGGTAATAATTTTATCTAGAAAATATTGAATAAATTTATACATTCATAAAAAAACCAAGCTAAAATATTTCAATTTCAGTAACACCATATTGTTTTCAATTACTTAGTGCATAATATTTCAATTGAATCCTCCTCAAAATGTGTGAAATGTATATAATTTTACTTAACTACAATTTAAGCTAAACAGCCTTCAAACAACCGGCTGCAGTTGTTTTATCCACGAAACAAAATGGTTATTTGACAGACTTAATTACCAGAACTAGAGTTCTACATGCAGATTAAAGTTATATGGACACTTATAGGACTTGTTTTTTATTCTTTGTTGTATAATATATGTATTTCAATTTCTTTAATCTCTAGATTTATTTATATGTAATTTAAGCAAGGCATTTTCATTAAATCTTTGCATCAATTGAACTTTAAATAAATAAATTTGTTACATATAATTGGGAATATTTTATTTGTTTGTATGTCTCACTCTTGGCAGAAAGAAGTTTTGATTATGTTGTTATAAAGTGATATATTTCAAAGTCGAAACATGGACGAATGTTGAATATACCATTTATCATCCAATAGCATATTTAATAGATTATCCTATAAAATATACTATAGAATACATATTCTATGGAACATTTCATCACATATTCAATAGGATCATTAATGGAATATTCCATAGATTGAAAATATTTTATGGAACATTTCATATAGGATGTCATAGAATATGTGTTAGAATGTTCCATAGAATACCAGTATTCTATAGAACATTCTAATGAATGTTCTGAAGGATATTCTATTGAGTATTCTATAAAACATGGCATATGTTATAGAATATTCTATTAAAGGTGCTATAGAACGTGTTGTAGAACGTTCCATAGAATAGGTTCCAAAATCCCTTAGAATATTCTATAGGATATTCAGTAAAAAATTTTAATGGAATATTCTATAGAACATTTTTGTAAGGGTATTGAGACTTTGGTGTATGCTGGGCGAAAGGATTTCCTATATGACACAAAAAAGATTGCATTTCAGTATTTTGGAAAAGATAGCACACATTACTTTATTATTGCAAAACGAAAGCATGAGTAAAAAAAAAATTATTTACCATTCCACAACAAGATGGGCTTCATCAATGACAATCGCTTTAACTCTCTTTTTCATGGCAGCAGCAAACGAACGAAAGTACCCACAAACAAATACTTCTGGATGAGCGAACACTATTTGGCAATTGGCATGTATTTCTTTAATATTATCGTTCGCCTGCAGAACAATCGTATTCACTCTCTCACTTAGCTTTTCCACTTGTTCTTGCATGAGTGCATTTAATGGCGAAACAACAATAATGATAGCAGGCAATGATGGCGAGGGATCTAAATAGTCGAATATGAATGGCAGGGTTTGATAAATCAGTGACTTTCCGTAACCAGTTGGCAATATTACTAATGAGTCATTTCTGTTGATGACTATGGCTTTTAAAGCTTCGTATTGTGCTTCTTTTAGTGATATTTCGGCTTTACCAAGTTTTAATAACGCGTTGTCGATTGAACTGTGAAATTTACTCATGTCCTCCATATTGAAATACGTTGCACATGCGCACTTGCTATTTTCCCCACGATTTGTGGAGAATAAAATGGATTATGCCAGAGCCCTGAGCTTCCTTCCAAAAGGAACGCGGGCTCTGGGTACGAGATTGGCATGCGGTTGTCAGCCAAACTGGTACTGCGCACGCGCATAAGCACTCCAATATTCCCGTATTTACAAATACAGGATGTATATATGCATGCAGTGACCAACATTATACTAGAAGGCAGTTTCCAACATGATCAATCAGAATATTTCAGTTAATATATTCTGCAGAAAGTATTATACACGTCTTATATAACAATAATAAAGTCTGTAGCATTCAGACAACTCGTGATTCAAGTTCAATTGCTTTCATGATCGCTGCTACATGCGACGTCAAACGAAGCACGAAGTAAATTTGAGGTATTGAAATGATTATAATCATAGAATATGCTGCCATTGGTGCGCTTTTTTGGTATGATAAAGACCTTTTTTGACTGATATCCCAAAGTCGTCTCGCCGATCGTAAAACTCAGTCGTAAAAATCATCTCGCTGATCGTAAAACAGCAGATCGTCACCGTCTGCACATACAGTATGGCCTTACAGTTGAAATAGCTCTTTAGTATTGAGTAGGCCCAAAAACAAACAACGAACAAAAATTTTACGTCAACTAACCATTTCTTGATTAAAAAATCTTTGTTGGACCGGAATATAGATGAGCTATTATGTATACTTACAAGGTTTTGCATAATCTTATTCAATGAAGTTATTGTTTAAGGTGTAACGATGTATATAATGACTCTTCATCTGAAAAACTGCTATCAGCAGAACTTTGTTCCTATTTCATGTTTAAACCAGGCAAATACAACCTTAACATCAATGTAAGGAAGCTTCATCTCATCATCTACATTCTGGTAAGTTATGCAATGCATCATGATGTCTAATTTTATGAAAATTGTCGTGGCCGTACATTGATCAATGTTTGCCCGAAGTGGGGTTTACGTCTTAGATTTGCCGTCGCATTTGTGTTCATAATATATCCTAGCTATATCATTATAATGTATAGTCGTAAAGTTTTACGATTTAGACCTAAGGAATTGACCACAGAAACGCCAACCATCTGTTATTACATTTAGTATATGCAAAGACTTTTTGTGTTATGTATGCATAACGCCAACATGAATTGATTGTTTGCTTGATAATTATTAAGATGCATTTTTCACTGTTTCCGATCATGAAATACGTTAAAATGAAAACCTTTGTTGGAATTCTTGACTAAATCGAACAAAGGGGGGCTCCAAAAGATATTTCAAGAGGATTCAATTTAGACTTTTATATTTTGGGCTATCGTATATTAATATGGCTTCAATAATTAACGTCTATCTGCTCAGAATTAATTCGCTGATATTTTAACTGATAGTTCTTTAAATAATGGTAACATACTTAGAATTAATTATTATAAGTAATTTGTAATTTTAACACACGACCATTGCACATCAGCTTTTGCTGTAACTCTATATCGTGTTGAAATAAATGTTAGAGGTGTATATATGATAATTATATAAAAATGAATGATATAAATGCATGTATGTATATGAATCACACAATGGTTCAAGCATGCATTTCAACAAAGGTAATTAAGTAACTATATGTACTATAATAAATATGTATTATATATGTATGTATACTAGCTATATATATATATGTTATATATATGTTAATATATAATAATAACCTTTGGTTTACAGTGTACTGTTATAAGAGTATAAAAATTGCTCAAGATTTCGTTGAAGGCTTTAATGAATATGTTTCAGGTGTTGCCTAGCCTGCCTTTTCACATTTACTATAGCTTTTATGCACAGTCACTATTTTTCACCAACTATAATTTCCACAGACAATTTTTACCGGTCAATAAACAGACTTTATATAATATGGCATGCTTTATGTATGTAGCTACCTCTCGATCTTAGTCTCCAAACGCGTGGTTGCATGGTCATATTTGAGTCTGCCAATGTCCTCCTAGTATTGTAAGGCCAAATCGTTATTATTGTACCACGAGAAAACAAGGTCTAACCGAAAATTGAAAACAGAAAGTGTGTGCGACGGTATTTTGTTTAATTGTTCATGTAGCTAATCTACTAGCTTTGACCAGCCGACAATTTACAAAGGTAAAGTAAAAAACAAATTCCGAATAAACAGGAGATCTTAAGAGTCCTAAAGATGATTTTTAAATAAAATCGAAAATTTACTGTCGAAAAATGTTTCTTGCTTGATTCATATTTTGACTTTCGACTACAGATGTCCGGTTTATTCGGAATTTGTTTTTTATTTTGCTACCAAGCTTGGTTTTTCCTTAACTGCTTCTCCCAGTTAAATTAACAGTGAGCTTTTTTGACTTTCTCTATTTTCCTGTGTACATTAGCATTTTGAAACTGAAAAGAAAATGGCGTTGGAAAAAAATTCAAGCCAGGAAATTGAGGACCCTTCCTTGCTTTTGCTTACACAAAACGCTGAGAAAAACGCTAATCAACTTGAAGCAGATAACAAGGAAAAAATCGGAGGTCCTCAAATTGTAAAATTCAATTACACATGCATTGGATACGTCAACAGCAGCAACCCAGTGTTTAATAAGCTGAGTAAGGCTATTCAAGACCAGGATTTGAAAAGCCTTCAAAACTACTTCGATGAATTTTGTAAGTTTAAAACTACATGATTATATTATTATACCTTGGTATGAGCTAACAAAAAGGTAGCGAAGCCTCTTACTGATGAGCCAGTTTTCTATGACAAGCTTTTATAGAAAAAATTGTTCAAGTTCAAATTTCTGTATGCGTCAACAAAGAAAACTTGTCACATAATGTGAGCACTGATCAGCGGACTGTATACTATTTTGCAATGGCGCGCTCACGTTGTCCGCTATACGATTACATCGCTGGCTGCAAACTAAATTGTCAAAGTAAACTTGTCGGCAGGTTCACACAAGCAAATAAAAGTTTTCAAAGGAAAGCATGTCACAGAGATTTTGTTTTACATACACACGTGCAATTGGCAATTAAAACTTGTCATATAATAATTTGCAATAGAAAACTTGCTGTCTGTGAGAAGCTATACTACTAACACTGTGGATTATCAGTTTTTTAGCTTGCAGGACACCACGTAGGTATTTAAAACTTATATGTTTATTATAGATATCGGTCTTGATTTTTGTCAATCACCTCAAGCTTTTTAATTAGAAGATCCCGGTTGTAGTATATTGGTTGTCAATGAAACTTTTTTAAATTTTATACACTTATGCTAAATATAGCTACGTATTTCTTTGCAGGTATAGGCAAACGCAGAAAAGCGAAAATGCTTTTACATTGTCCTGGGTTTTATTTCTCAACATTCAGAGAGGAATGCCTTATTGCTCAGGCGATGTTCTACGATCTTGATTGTTTCCGGTACTTGCTTGAACTTTACGAAAGCTTAAAATCAACGTTGGAAGAAATGCAGCCAAAGGAAAACTGGGAAAAATACCGCATCGATTCTTTAACCTTACTACCATTTCGCATAAGTGGCGTTAATGGAAATCTACTTCACTACCTGGAGGGGGAAGATGCCATTATTAAGTTAGAAATTCTAAGCAAGTCTTCCACGTTTAACCTGCTAATTAACCACAAAAATCTTCACGGTGTTACACCACTGCTTATGGCAATAATGTTTGATGAAGTGGATCTGGCAGAGAGAATGGTAGAACTGGGCGCATATATCGACAGTGAGAGTAATGATAAAGAAACGCCATTCAGTCAAGCCGTTAGTCGTGGCCATCTTGATCTGGTTAAGAAAATGCTGACGATTGGTATGTTGCATGCATGAACCAACATTTTCTGGAACTATATTACTCGTACACTATAATACATGCATAAAGTAACCCCTCGCCATTTAAGCTAAGAAAACATTGAAAAAGACTTGAGCTTGGCCTTAGTTTACATGCATATATTATTATGAAATTACTCTCTATGTAATTAATCGTATAAGAATAGAGTATCAAAATCACTGGTATCGTTTACAAAATTGGCGTCAGAGTGAAAAATAGTATGAAAAAACGAAACTGTACCACTTTGTCTAATGTCATATAGGGCCACGGGTGTACAAAATAGACTAGCTAGCTATATATTATGGTTCTTTATCAGTAAAAATGATTTTCACCCTATTTGCAATATGAACATATGGATTTCTTCGTCTTCAACTAGTCATAACTTTCAATTTTCATTGTTATGTAGAAGTATTCTAATCACGGAAATGCATTTTAGGTAAGACGGAATTATTCGATACGAAGGATCATTTATACCGTAGTAAAGGTCATTCAATATTTATCCAGCAATCTGAGCAGCAATACGGAAATGATAAGATATATTCACGGATACATTCAAAATTCAACAGAGCAACAGATGATTAAGATTTCAATGAGGTTATTAAAAACATTACATTTATTCGGCATGTGTGCAATATTGATATATATATATTATATATCTAAAACTTATAGTAATTCATGAGAAAAACACAAAGAAAATTGTTGTTTGAATACCCAGCTAGGAAGAACTTACATAAATTAAGCCAACTTTCACCTCAGTGTCTTTCAAAACATATTAGTTTTGAGATGTTGTGTAAACAACCGTTTGTAGTGTCTCATTAGGTGTTCCAAACCTTCAAAATGAATAAAAAAAACTTGCACTTTGTCCTTGTTTTTCATACTGTTTTTCTTGTGTTGGATCAAACTCGTTGTTTATATATACAGTAACTTATTAAGGAACAATATGCTCTTATATAAATGTGAATAGAGTTATTTATAAAGGGGGAAATTTACCTCTGTTAAGTTCAGAAAGAATAGCAAAAATGTTCTTGGCATGTTCATCATCAAATATTGGTAATTTTTCTTTTATCTCTTCAATAGATGTGAGTTCTTTGGCATTTTGTACAATCATGTCAATAAGATCAACACTGAAACCAGTGGCCAAGCTCACTCCACCAACACAAGAAGGCCCAGATCCATGTAGACTTAATCGATAATTTACCAAGGCATCATGTAATGCTACTTTTTCAATGTCAGTCAATGATGTTTTACTACATGTACATATAGATAAATGTTTGTCATTAACATTCCTTTCATATTTGCTTTTCATAGGGGTGTCTTCATTATTTTGTGCACTATTAACCACACAGTCATCACACTCACAATATCTCCAGTGGAAGTCACAACAGGTGTGATCTGGTAAGTCTCGTTTGGGCATTTTGTGGCCAAAATGATGTAAGATCATCTCTCTCTTGCACTTGGGTTCCTGCACAAATTTCCGCATGACATCTGACATCTCCTTTTTTGCAGCTGATAAATCAAAACTATTGAAATAGATCAATGCTTGTGATAGTAAGCCATCTCTTCCACATCGTCCAGCCTCTTGAAAGTACTCTTCGATGGTATATGGTACACCAATGTGTATAACCCGCCTTATGTTATTAATATCGATTCCTATTCCAAATGACACGGTAACAAATAACAATCTTAATCTGGACTCCCCATTCACTAGCTCTGAAACAATTCTTTCTCTCTCAAATTTTGGGTACTGAGCATGAAACTGTGTGAACAATCTGTTTTTTGCCAAGGCAGCAGCACCAGGTGGATCATATTGACTAGTACCCAATGTTTGACTGAAGTACAAATAGCACTCACTAATTGTGTCAAGAGAACCATAGATAAGAGTTAATGGGAAGTCATGTCTCTTGGTTTGAAGTTCTTGAGCAAGTGGTTCAAGGATCTCAAGCAATTTATCACTGCCTCTGCTTGGTCTAGAAAATGAGGCAAAATTAATGTTGGGGCGATCTGGATTTACGGTGATAACAGCTGGCTGAGACATTCCAAGGCACTCCTTTATTTCCTTTTGCATGCTTAAAGTAGCAGTGGCAGTCAGTGCTACAACTGATGCATGTGGGAAATAGCTCGACAATACCCTTACGAAAATGTTCTATAGAATCCTATAGAATATGCTATAACATATTCTAAATCCCATAGAATATTCTATAGGACTTCTTATCCTATAGCATATTCCATTGCCATATTCTATAGAATTTAGAGATGCTATAGAATATTCTATGGCACATTCACAGTAAAATATATTCTATAGAACATGCTGTACACAATATTCTATAGAATTTAGAGATGCTATAGAATATTCTATTGCACATTCACATTAAAATCCAATAATATATTCTATAGAATATGCTGTACACAATATTCTATAGAATATATGTTATACAGAATCAGACCTTTATGCAATTTAAAATATAACATTTTTACTACACTATTCATTGGTCGAGAATTATATTCGCATTTTTTGTAAGGTTCTCTCGACATACTTTTAAAGTCTTAAAGTTAAAATTCTCAGCAGAAATCATTCGTTTTGTAAAGACAATTCACGAATATTTCACACATATGACATATCTCATATGAGTCAAATCTGTTTCATAATATGCCCGTTCGCAGCTTAGATGGCGGGCGTTTTGCCCAAACAAGGCTGCAAGGTTATGTGGGACTTGTTTAACCGCCACGCATTATTTTCAAATTTTGAGCGCGTATTTGTCTGTAGTTTTTCATCCGTTGATTCAACGTTTTATAACTGATACTGGTAGAATTTAGTGCGTTTTTCTTTCGTATTTTAACATAAAATACGCATTCTTTGAATTTGTCAAAGAGGAATCATAGGAGGGTGGTGAAACGCGCTTTAGTATGCGAGGAGAATCAGAAGATATGGATAATTTTGTAAATGCGTGAAAGGTGACCAGGATCGTGAGAAAGAAAGGCTATGGCAATGAGAAATTTCTAAAGTTAAAAAAATAATCAAAAGTTCATTGACCCATCTACAACAACATGTGTATCTAAAGTATTGGAATTCAGTGGTGAGTGTGCTTTGTATATGCTATAAATGCTATATGTTTGTATAGGCAACATATGTTCTGTATACCATTATAATTAATCTCATAAATTTTTATTCACCTTTAGATTAAACTTTTTATTTGAACATTTTATTTACACCTTTTATTTATACCACCATAAATAGAGCCATTCCAACTAAAAATTATTTCTGTCAAGACATTTGCACTAGCTCTAGATAAATTTTATATATCATTAAAATTGAATTAAATATAAGCTAGGTCTCAAGTGTTTAATTGTGTGTTTACTGTTAAAATTTACAGATTTCCTTTTGTCCAAGCATCACACTAACCAAAGGTCAAAATGGAGCTCTATTAAAGCAATACTAAATGTGAAAGGTTTTGTTTATGCAGTGCCGTGGATGCAAGAACAACTTTCCATCACTGGAAAGGCTTCAAATGCCTAGCTTAATTCAAAGAAAAGGATGCAAAACCAAAGCCAGAGAAAGTTAAGAGTATATATGGTAAGCAGTATAATTGTTAGTAATTATGTCTGGTCTAAGTTAATATATCTTATATACATATCTTGGTTCAGTTATTGATGAGTTTTACCTTTTCTAGCTGTGTCTAAAGTATAGTGCAAAAAGGTTTGAGGGAAAAGAGGCAGACATATGACAAGTTATGGCACCAAAGATTAATAATATTGTGCAAGTTGAGAAAACCAAGTTGAAAGCATCTGGACATCAGTAACTATATGACATTCCATTTTCTACTATTTACATGTTCTGTACATGTAAATATATTTAGTATAATAGCCTAGTTATATTTTTGCTATTTTCTTGCACAGTCATTTTATTTGGTGGGAAAACTGCAGTATGGTAATAATTTTATCTAGAAAATATTGAATAAATTTATACATTCATAAAAAAACCAAGCTAAAATATTTCAATTTCAGTAACACCATATTGTTTTCAATTACTTAGTGCATAATATTTCAATTGAATCCTCCTCAAAATGTGTGAAATGTATATAATTTTACTTAACTACAATTTAAGCTAAACAGCCTTCAAACAACCGGCTGCAGTTGTTTTATCCACGAAACAAAATGGTTATTTGACAGACTTAATTACCAGAACTAGAGTTCTACATGCAGATTAAAGTTATATGGACACTTATAGGACTTGTTTTTTATTCTTTGTTGTATAATATATGTATTTCAATTTCTTTAATCTCTAGATTTATTTATATGTAATTTAAGCAAGGCATTTTCATTAAATCTTTGCATCAATTGAACTTTAAATAAATAAATTTGTTACATATAATTGGGAATATTTTATTTGTTTGTATGTCTCACTCTTGGCAGAAAGAAGTTTTGATTATGTTGTTATAAAGTGATATATTTCAAAGTCGAAACATGGACGAATGTTGAATATACCATTTATCATCCAATAGCATATTTAATAGATTATCCTATAAAATATACTATAGAATACATATTCTATGGAACATTTCATCACATATTCAATAGGATCATTAATGGAATATTCCATAGATTGAAAATATTTTATGGAACATTTCATATAGGATGTCATAGAATATGTGTTAGAATGTTCCATAGAATACCAGTATTCTATAGAACATTCTAATGAATGTTCTGAAGGATATTCTATTGAGTATTCTATAAAACATGGCATATGTTATAGAATATTCTATTAAAGGTGCTATAGAACGTGTTGTAGAACGTTCCATAGAATAGGTTCCAAAATCCCTTAGAATATTCTATAGGATATTCAGTAAAAAATTTTAATGGAATATTCTATAGAACATTTTTGTAAGGGTATTGAGACTTTGGTGTATGCTGGGCGAAAGGATTTCCTATATGACACAAAAAAGATTGCATTTCAGTATTTTGGAAAAGATAGCACACATTACTTTATTATTGCAAAACGAAAGCATGAGTAAAAAAAAAATTATTTACCATTCCACAACAAGATGGGCTTCATCAATGACAATCGCTTTAACTCTCTTTTTCATGGCAGCAGCAAACGAACGAAAGTACCCACAAAACAAATACTTCTGGATGAGCGAACACTATTTGGCAATTGGCATGTATTTCTTTAATATTATCGTTCGCCTGCAGAACAATCGTATTCACTCTCTCACTTAGCTTTTCCACTTGTTCTTGCATGAGTGCATTTAATGGCGAAACAACAATAATGATAGCAGGCAATGATGGCGAGGGATCTAAATAGTCGAATATGAATGGCAGGGTTTGATAAATCAGTGACTTTCCGTAACCAGTTGGCAATATTACTAATGAGTCATTTCTGTTGATGACTATGGCTTTTAAAGCTTCGTATTGTGCTTCTTTTAGTGATATTTCGGCTTTACCAAGTTTTAATAACGCGTTGTCGATTGAACTGTGAAATTTACTCATGTCCTCCATATTGAAATACGTTGCACATGCGCACTTGCTATTTTCCCCACGATTTGTGGAGAATAAAATGGATTATGCCAGAGCCCTGAGCTTCCTTCCAAAAGGAACGCGGGCTCTGGGTACGAGATTGGCATGCGGTTGTCAGCCAAACTGGTACTGCGCACGCGCATAAGCACTCCAATATTCCCGTATTTACAAATACAGGATGTATATATGCATGCAGTGACCAACATTATACTAGAAGGCAGTTTCCAACATGATCAATCAGAATATTTCAGTTAATATATTCTGCAGAAAGTATTATACACGTCTTATATAACAATAATAAAGTCTGTAGCATTCAGACAACTCGTGATTCAAGTTCAATTGCTTTCATGATCGCTGCTACATGCGACGTCAAACGAAGCACGAAGTAAATTTGAGGTATTGAAATGATTATAATCATAGAATATGCTGCCATTGGTGCGCTTTTTTGGTATGATAAAGACCTTTTTTGACTGATATCCCAAAGTCGTCTCGCCGATCGTAAAACTCAGTCGTAAAAATCATCTCGCTGATCGTAAAACAGCAGATCGTCACCGTCTGCACATACAGTATGGCCTTACAGTTGAAATAGCTCTTTAGTATTGAGTAGGCCCAAAAACAAACAACGAACAAAAATTTTACGTCAACTAACCATTTCTTGATTAAAAAATCTTTGTTGGACCGGAATATAGATGAGCTATTATGTATACTTACAAGGTTTTGCATAATCTTATTCAATGAAGTTATTGTTTAAGGTGTAACGATGTATATAATGACTCTTCATCTGAAAAACTGCTATCAGCAGAACTTTGTTCCTATTTCATGTTTAAACCAGGCAAATACAACCTTAACATCAATGTAAGGAAGCTTCATCTCATCATCTACATTCTGGTAAGTTATGCAATGCATCATGATGTCTAATTTTATGAAAATTGTCGTGGCCGTACATTGATCAATGTTTGCCCGAAGTGGGGTTTACGTCTTAGATTTGCCGTCGCATTTGTGTTCATAATATATCCTAGCTATATCATTATAATGTATAGTCGTAAAGTTTTACGATTTAGACCTAAGGAATTGACCACAGAAACGCCAACCATCTGTTATTACATTTAGTATATGCAAAGACTTTTTGTGTTATGTATGCATAACGCCAACATGAATTGATTGTTTGCTTGATAATTATTAAGATGCATTTTTCACTGTTTCCGATCATGAAATACGTTAAAATGAAAACCTTTGTTGGAATTCTTGACTAAATCGAACAAAGGGGGCTCCAAAAGATATTTCAAGAGGATTCAATTTAGACTTTTATATTTTGGGCTATCGTATATTAATATGGCTTCAATAATTAACGTCTATCTGCTCAGAATTAATTCGCTGATATTTTAACTGATAGTTCTTTAAATAATGGTAACATACTTAGAATTAATTATTATTATAAGTAATTTGTAATTTTAACACACGACCATTGCACATCAGCTTTTGCTGTAACTCTATATCGTGTTGAAATAAATGTTAGAGGTGTATATATGATAATTATATAAAAATGAATGATATAAATGCATGTATGTATATGAATCACACAATGGTTCAAGCATGCATTTCAACAAAGGTAATTAAGTAACTATATGTACTATAATAAATATGTATTATATATGTATGTATACTAGCTATATATATATATATGTTATATATATGTTAATATATAATAATAATATTATTAAAATAACCTTTGGTTTACAGTGTACTGTTATAAGAGTATAAAAATTGCTCAAGATTTCGTTGAAGGCTTTAATGAATATGTTTCAGGTGTTGCCTAGCCTGCCTTTTCACATTTACTATAGCTTTTATGCACAGTCACTATTTTTCACCAACTATAATTTCCACAGACAATTTTTACCGGTCAATAAACAGACTTTATATAATATGGCATGCTTTATGTATGTAGCTACCTCTCGATCTTAGTCTCCAAACGCGTGGTTGCATGGTCATATTTGAGTCTGCCAATGTCCTCCTAGTATTGTAAGGCCAAATCGTTATTATTGTACCACGAGAAAACAAGGTCTAACCGAAAATTGAAAACAGAAAGTGTGTGCGACGGTATTTTGTTTAATTGTTCATGTAGCTAATCTACTAGCTTTGACCAGCCGACAATTTACAAAGGTAAAGTAAAAAACAAATTCCGAATAAACAGGAGATCTTAAGAGTCCTAAAGATGATTTTTAAATAAAATCGAAAATTTACTGTCGAAAAATGTTTCTTGCTTGATTCATATTTTGACTTTCGACTACAGATGTCCGGTTTATTCGGAATTTGTTTTTTATTTTGCTACCAAGCTTGGTTTTTCCTTAACTGCTTCTCCCAGTTAAATTAACAGTGAGCTTTTTTGACTTTCTCTATTCCCTTCCTGTACATTAGCATTTTGAAACTGAAAAGAAAATGGCGTTGGAAAAAAATTCAAGCCAGGAAATTGAGGACCCTTCCTTGCTTTTGCTTACACAAAACGCTGAGAAAAACGCTAATCAACTTGAAGCAGATAACAAGGAAAAAATCGGAGGTCCTCAAATTGTAAAATTCAATTACACATGCATTGGATACGTCAACAGCAGCAACCCAGTTTTAATAAGCTGAGTAAGGCTATTCAAGACCAGGATTTGAAAAGCCTTCAAAACTACTTCGATGAATTTTGTAAGTTTAAAACTACATGATATTATTATACCTTGGTATGAGCTAACAAAAAGGTAGCGAAGCCTCTTACTGATGAGCCAGTTTTCTATGACAAGCTTTTATAGAAAAAATTGTTCAAGTTCAAATTTCTGTATGCGTCAACAAAGAAAACTTGTCACATAATGTGAGCACTGATCAGCGGACTGTATACTATTTTGCAATGGCGCGCTCACGTTGTCCGCTATACGATTACATCGCTGGCTGCAAACTAAATTGTCAAAGTAAACTTGTCGGCAGGTTCACACAAGCAAATAAAAGTTTTCAAAGGAAAGCATGTCACAGAGATTTTGTTTTACATACACACGTGCAATTGGCAATTAAAACTTGTCATAATAATAATTTGCAATAGAAAACTTGCTGTCTGTGAGAAGCTATACTACTAACACTGTGGATTATCAGTTTTTTAGCTTGCAGGACACCACGTAGGTATTTAAAACTTATATGTTTATTATAGATATCGGTCTTGATTTTTGTCAATCACCTCAAGCTTTTTAATTAGAAGATCCCGGTTGTAGTATAATTGGTTGTCAATGAAACTTTTTTAAATTTTATACACTTATGCTAATATAGCTACGTATTTCTTTGCAGGTATAGGCAAACGCAGAAAAGCGAAAATGCTTTTACATTGTCCTGGGTTTTATTTCTCACAACATTCGAGAGGAATGCCTTATTGCTCAGGCGATGTTCTACGATCTTGATTGTTTCCGGTACTTGCTTGAACTTTACGAAAGCTTAAAATCAACGTTGGAAGAAATGCAGCCAAAGGAAAACTGGGAAAAATACCGCATCGATTCTTTAACCTTACTACCATTTCGCATAAGTGGCGTTAATGGAAATCTACTTCACTACCTGGAGGGGGAAGATGCCATTATTAAGTTAGAAATTCTAAGCAAGTCTTCCACGTTTAACCTGCTAATTAACCACAAAAATCTTCACGGTGTTACACCACTGCTTATGGCAATAATGTTTGATGAAGTGGATCTGGCAGAGAGAATGGTAGAACTGGGCGCATATATCGACAGTGAGAGTAATGATAAAGAAACGCCATTCAGTCAAGCCGTTAGTCGTGGCCATCTTGATCTGGTTAAGAAAATGCTGACGATTGGTATGTTGCATGCATGAACCAACATTTTCTGGAACTATATTACTCGTACACTATAATACATGCATAAAGTAACCCCTCGCCATTTTAAGCTAAGAAAACATTGAAAAAGACTTGAGCTTGGCCTTAGTTTACATGCATATATTATTATGAAATTACTCTCTATGTAATTAATCGTATAAGAATAGAGTATCAAAATCACTGGTATCGTTTACAAAATTGGCGTCAGAGTGAAAAATAGTATGAAAAAACGAAACTGTACCACTTTGTCTAATGTCATATAGGGCCACGGGTGTACAAAAATAGACTAGCTAGCTATAATTATTATGGTTCTTTATCAGTAAAAATGATTTTCACCCTATTTGCAATATGAACATATGGATTTCTTCGTCTTCAACTAGTCATAACTTTCAATTTTCATTGTTATGTAGAAGTATTCTAATCACGGAAATGCATTTTAGGTAAGACGGAATTATTCGATACGAAGGATCATTTATACCGTAGTAAAGGTCATTCAATATTCTATCCAGCAATCTTGAGCAGCAATACGGAAATGATAAGATATATTCACGGATACATTCAAAATTCAACAGAGCAACAGATGATTAAGATTTCAATGAGGTTATTAATAATTCATTACATTTATTCAGCATGTGTGCAATATTTGATATATATAATTATATATCTAAAACTTATAGTAATTCATGAGAAAAACACAAAGAAAATTGTTGTTTGAATACCCTAGCTAGGAAGAACTTACATAAATTAAGCCAACTTTCACCTCAGTTTTCTTTCAAAATACATATTAGTTTGAGATGTTGTGTAAACAACTCGTTTGTAGTGTCTCATTAGGTGTTCCAAACCTTCAAAATGATAAAAAAAACTTGCACTTTGTCCTTGTTTTTCATACTGTTTTTCTTGTGTTGGATCAAACTCGTTGTTTATATATACAGTAACTTATTAAGGAACAATATGCTCTTATATAAATGTGAATAGAGTTATTTATAAAGGGGGAAATTTACCTCTGTTAAGTTCAGAAAGAATAGCAAAAATGTTCTTGGCATGTTCATCATCAAATATTGGTAATTTTTCTTTTATCTCTTCAATAGATGTGAGTTCTTTGGCATTTTGTACAATCATGTCAATAAGATCAACACTGAAACCAGTGGCCAAGCTCACTCCACCAACACAAGAAGGCCCAGATCCATGTAGACTTAATCGATAATTTACCAAGGCATCATGTAATGCTACTTTTTCAATGTCAGTCAATGATGTTTTACTACATGTACATATAGATAAATGTTTGTCATTAACATTCCTTTCATATTTGCTTTTCATAGGGGTGTCTTCATTATTTTGTGCACTATTAACCACACAGTCATCACACTCACAATATCTCCAGTGGAAGTCACAACAGGTGTGATCTGGTAAGTCTCGTTTGGGCATTTTGTGGCCAAAATGATGTAAGATCATCTCTCTCTTGCACTTGGGTTCCTGCACAAATTTCCGCATGACATCTGACATCTCCTTTTTTGCAGCTGATAAATCAAAACTATTGAAATAGATCAATGCTTGTGATAGTAAGCCATCTCTTCCACATCGTCCAGCCTCTTGAAAGTACTCTTCGATGGTATATGGTACACCAATGTGTATAACCCGCCTTATGTTATTAATATCGATTCCTATTCCAAATGACACGGTAACAAATAACAATCTTAATCTGGACTCCCCATTCACTAGCTCTGAAACAATTCTTTCTCTCTCAAATTTTGGGTACTGAGCATGAAACTGTGTGAACAATCTGTTTTTTGCCAAGGCAGCAGCACCAGGTGGATCATATTGACTAGTACCCAATGTTTGACTGAAGTACAAATAGCACTCACTAATTGTGTCAAGAGAACCATAGATAAGAGTTAATGGGAAGTCATGTCTCTTGGTTTGAAGTTCTTGAGCAAGTGGTTCAAGGATCTCAAGCAATTTATCACTGCCTCTGCTTGGTCTAGAAAATGAGGCAAAATTAATGTTGGGGCGATCTGGATTTACGGTGATAACAGCTGGCTGAGACATTCCAAGGCACTCCTTTATTTCCTTTTGCATGCTTAAAGTAGCAGTGGCAGTCAGTGCTACAACTGATGCATGTGGGAAATAGCTCGACAATACCCTTACGAAAATGTTCTATAGAATCCTATAGAATATGCTATAACATATTCTAAATCCCATAGAATATTCTATAGGACTTCTTATCCTATAGCATATTCCATTGCCATATTCTATAGAATTTAGAGATGCTATAGAATATTCTATGGCACATTCACAGTAAAATATATTCTATAGAACATGCTGTACACAATATTCTATAGAATTTAGAGATGCTATAGAATATTCTATTGCACATTCACATTAAATATCCAATAATATATTCTATAGAATATGCTGTACACAATATTCTATAGAATATATGTTATACAGAATCAGACCTTTATGCAATTTAAAATATAACATTTTTACTACACTATTCATTGGTCGAGAATTATATTCGCATTTTTTGTAAGGTTCTCTCGACATACTTTTAAAGTCTTAAAGTTAAAATTCTCAGCAGAAATCATTCGTTTTGTAAAGACAATTCACGAATATTTCACACATATGACATATCTCATATGAGTCAAATCTGTTTCATAATATGCCCGTTCGCAGCTTAGATGGCGGGCGTTTTGCCCAAACAAGGCTGCAAGGTTATGTGGGACTTGTTTAACCGCCACGCATTATTTTCAAATTTTGAGCGCGTATTTGTCTGTAGTTTTTCATCCGTTGATTCAACGTTTTATAACTGATACTGGTAGAATTTAGTGCGTTTTTCTTTCGTATTTTAACATAAAATACGCATTCTTTGAATTTGTCAAAGAGGAATCATAGGAGGGTGGTGAAACGCGCTTTAGTATGCGAGGAGAATCAGAAGATATGGATAATTTTGTAAATGCGTGAAAGGTGACCAGGATCGTGAGAAAGAAAGGCTATGGCAATGAGAAATTTCTAAAGTTAAAAAAAAATCAAAAGTTCATTGACCCATCTACAACAACATGTGTATCTAAAGTATTGGAATTCAGTGGTGAGTGTGCTTTGTATATGCTATAAATGCTATATGTTTGTATAGGCAACATATGTACTGTATACCATTATAATTAATCTCATAAATTTTTATTCACCTTTAGATTAAACTTTTTATTTGAACATTTTATTTACACCTTTTATTTATACCACCATAAATAGAGCCATTCCAACTAAAAATTATTTCTGTCAAGACATTTGCACTAGCTCTAGATAAATTTTATATATCATTAAAATTGAATTAAATATAAGCTAGGTCTCAAGTGTTTAATTGTGTGTTTACTGTTAAAATTTACAGATTTCCTTTTGTCCAAGCATCACACTAACCAAAGGTCAAAATGGAGCTCTATTAAAGCAATACTAAATGTGAAAGGTTTTGTTTATGCAGTGCCGTGGATGCAAGAACAACTTTCCATCACTGGAAAGGCTTCAAATGCCTAGCTTAATTCAAAGAAAAGGATGCAAAACCAAAGCCAGAGAAAGTTAAGAGTATATATGGTAAGCAGTATAATTGTTAGTAATTATGTCTGGTCTAAGTTAATATATCTTATATACATATCTTGGTTCAGTTATTGATGAGTTTTACCTTTTCTAGCTGTGTCTAAAGTATAGTGCAAAAAGGTTTGAGGGAAAAGAGGCAGACATATGACAAGTTATGGCACCAAAGATTAATAATATTGTGCAAGTTGAGAAAACCAAGTTGAAAGCATCTGGACATCAGTAACTATATGACATTCCATTTTCTACTATTTACATGTTCTGTACATGTAAATATATTTAGTATAATAGCCTAGTTATATTTTTGCTATTTTCTTGCACAGTCATTTTATTTGGTGGGAAAACTGCAGTATGGTAATAATTTTATCTAGAAAATATTGAATAAATTTATACATTCATAAAAAAACCAAGCTAAAATATTTCAATTTCAGTAACACCATATTGTTTTCAATTACTTAGTGCATAATATTTCAATTGAATCCTCCTCAAAATGTGTGAAATGTATATAATTTTACTTAACTACAATTTAAGCTAAACAGCCTTCAAACAACCGGCTGCAGTTGTTTTATCCACGAAACAAAATGGTTATTTGACAGACTTAATTACCAGAACTAGAGTTCTACATGCAGATTAAAGTTATATGGACACTTATAGGACTTGTTTTTTATTCTTTGTTGTATATATGTATTTCAATTTCTTTAATCTCTAGATTTATTTATATGTAATTTAAGCAAGGCATTTTCATTAAATCTTTGCATCAATTGAACTTTAAATAAATAAATTTGTTACATATAATTGGGAATATTTTATTTGTTTGTATGTCTCACTCTTGGCAGAAAGAAGTTTTGATTATGTTGTTATAAAGTGATATATTTCAAAGTCGAAACATGGACGAATGTTGAATATACCATTTATCATCCAATAGCATATTTAATAGATTATCCTATAAAATATACTATAGAATACATATTCTATGGAACATTTCATCACATATTCAATAGGATCATTAATGGAATATTCCATAGATTGAAAATATTTTATGGAACATTTCATATAGGATGTCATAGAATATGTGTTAGAATGTTCCATAGAATACCAGTATTCTATAGAACATTCTAATGAATGTTCTGAAGGATATTCTATTGAGTATTCTATAAAACATGGCATATGTTATAGAATATTCTATTAAAGGTGCTATAGAACGTGTTGTAGAACGTTCCATAGAATAGGTTCCAAAATCCCTTAGAATATTCTATAGGATATTCAGTAAAAAATTTTAATGGAATATTCTATAGAACATTTTTGTAAGGGTATTGAGACTTTGGTGTATGCTGGGCGAAAGGATTTCCTATATGACACAAAAAAGATTGCATTTCAGTATTTTGGAAAAGATAGCACACATTACTTTATTATTGCAAAACGAAAGCATGAGTAAAAAAAAAATTATTTACCATTCCACAACAAGATGGGCTTCATCAATGACAATCGCTTTAACTCTCTTTTTCATGGCAGCAGCAAACGAACGAAAGTACCCACAAACAAATACTTCTGGATGAGCGAACACTATTTGGCAATTGGCATGTATTTCTTTAATATTATCGTTCGCCTGCAGAACAATCGTATTCACTCTCTCACTTAGCTTTTCCACTTGTTCTTGCATGAGTGCATTTAATGGCGAAACAACAATAATGATAGCAGGCAATGATGGCGAGGGATCTAAATAGTCGAATATGAATGGCAGGGTTTGATAAATCAGTGACTTTCCGTAACCAGTTGGCAATATTACTAATGAGTCATTTCTGTTGATGACTATGGCTTTTAAAGCTTCGTATTGTGCTTCTTTTAGTGATATTTCGGCTTTACCAAGTTTTAATAACGCGTTGTCGATTGAACTGTGAAATTTACTCATGTCCTCCATATTGAAATACGTTGCACATGCGCACTTGCTATTTTCCCCACGATTTGTGGAGAATAAAATGGATTATGCCAGAGCCCTGAGCTTCCTTCCAAAAGGAACGCGGGCTCTGGGTACGAGATTGGCATGCGGTTGTCAGCCAAACTGGTACTGCGCACGCGCATAAGCACTCCAATATTCCCGTATTTACAAATACAGGATGTATATATGCATGCAGTGACCAACATTATACTAGAAGGCAGTTTCCAACATGATCAATCAGAATATTTCAGTTAATATATTCTGCAGAAAGTATTATACACGTCTTATATAACAATAATAAAGTCTGTAGCATTCAGACAACTCGTGATTCAAGTTCAATTGCTTTCATGATCGCTGCTACATGCGACGTCAAACGAAGCACGAAGTAAATTTGAGGTATTGAAATGATTATAATCATAGAATATGCTGCCATTGGTGCGCTTTTTTGGTATGATAAAGACCTTTTTTGACTGATATCCCAAAGTCGTCTCGCCGATCGTAAAACTCAGTCGTAAAAATCATCTCGCTGATCGTAAAACAGCAGATCGTCACCGTCTGCACATACAGTATGGCCTTACAGTTGAAATAGCTCTTTAGTATTGAGTAGGCCCAAAAACAAACAACGAACAAAAATTTTACGTCAACTAACCATTTCTTGATTAAAAAATCTTTGTTGGACCGGAATATAGATGAGCTATTATGTATACTTACAAGGTTTTGCATAATCTTATTCAATGAAGTTATTGTTTAAGGTGTAACGATGTATATAATGACTCTTCATCTGAAAAACTGCTATCAGCAGAACTTTGTTCCTATTTCATGTTTAAACCAGGCAAATACAACCTTAACATCAATGTAAGGAAGCTTCATCTCATCATCTACATTCTGGTAAGTTATGCAATGCATCATGATGTCTAATTTTATGAAAATTGTCGTGGCCGTACATTGATCAATGTTTGCCCGAAGTGGGGTTTACGTCTTAGATTTGCCGTCGCATTTGTGTTCATAATATATCCTAGCTATATCATTATAATGTATAGTCGTAAAGTTTTACGATTTAGACCTAAGGAATTGACCACAGAAACGCCAACCATCTGTTATTACATTTAGTATATGCAAAGACTTTTTGTGTTATGTATGCATAACGCCAACATGAATTGATTGTTTGCTTGATAATTATTAAGATGCATTTTTCACTGTTTCCGATCATGAAATACGTTAAAATGAAAACCTTTGTTGGAATTCTTGACTAAATCGAACAAAGGGGGGCTCCAAAAGATATTTCAAGAGGATTCAATTTAGACTTTTATATTTTGGGCTATCGTATATTAATATGGCTTCAATAATTAACGTCTATCTGCTCAGAATTAATTCGCTGATATTTTAACTGATAGTTCTTTAAATAATGGTAACATACTTAGAATTAATTATTATTATAAGTAATTTGTAATTTTAACACACGACCATTGCACATCAGCTTTTGCTGTAACTCTATATCGTGTTGAAATAAATGTTAGAGGTGTATATATGATAATTATATAAAAATGAATGATATAAATGCATGTATGTATATGAATCACACAATGGTTCAAGCATGCATTTCAACAAAGGTAATTAAGTAACTATATGTACTATAATAAATATGTATTATATATGTATGTATACTAGCTATATATATATATATGTTATATATATGTTAATATATAATAATATATAACCTTTGGTTTACAGTGTACTGTTATAAGAGTATAAAAATTGCTCAAGATTTCGTTGAAGGCTTTAATGAATATGTTTCAGGTGTTGCCTAGCCTGCCTTTTCACATTTACTATAGCTTTTATGCACAGTCACTATTTTTCACCAACTATAATTTCCACAGACAATTTTTACCGGTCAATAAACAGACTTTATATAATATGGCATGCTTTATGTATGTAGCTACCTCTCGATCTTAGTCTCCAAACGCGTGGTTGCATGGTCATATTTGAGTCTGCCAATGTCCTCCTAGTATTGTAAGGCCAAATCGTTATTATTGTACCACGAGAAAACAAGGTCTAACCGAAAATTGAAAACAGAAAGTGTGTGCGACGGTATTTTGTTTAATTGTTCATGTAGCTAATCTACTAGACCAGCCGACAATTTACAAAGGTAAAGTAAAAACAAATTCCGAATAAACAGGAGATCTTAAGAGTCCTAAAGATGATTTTTAAATAAAATCGAAAATTTACTGTCGAAAAATGTTTCTTGCTTGATTCATATTTTGACTTTCGACTACAGATGTCCGGTTTATTCGGAATTTGTTTTTTATTTTGCTACCAAGCTTGGTTTTTTTAACTGCTTCTCCCAGTTAAATTAACAGTGAGCTTTTTTGACTTTCTCTATTCCCTTCCTGTACATTAGCATTTTGAAACTGAAAAGAAAATGGCGTTGGAAAAAAATTCAAGCCAGGAAATTGAGGACCCTTCCTTGCTTTTGCTTACACAAAACGCTGAGAAAAACGCTAATCAACTTGAAGCAGATAACAAGGAAAAAATCGGAGGTCCTCAAATTGTAAAATTCAATTACACATGCATTGGATACGTCAACAGCAGCAACCCAGTGTTTAATAAGCTGAGTAAGGCTATTCAAGACCAGGATTTGAAAAGCCTTCAAAACTACTTCGATGAATTTTGTAAGTTTAAAACTACATGATTATATTATTATACCTTGGTATGAGCTAACAAAAAGGTAGCGAAGCCTCTTACTGATGAGCCAGTTTTCTATGACAAGCTTTTATAGAAAAAATTGTTCAAGTTCAAATTTCTGTATGCGTCAACAAAGAAAACTTGTCACATAATGTGAGCACTGATCAGCGGACTGTATACTATTTTGCAATGGCGCGCTCACGTTGTCCGCTATACGATTACATCGCTGGCTGCAAACTAAATTGTCAAAGTAAACTTGTCGGCAGGTTCACACAAGCAAATAAAAGTTTTCAAAGGAAAGCATGTCACAGAGATTTTGTTTTACATACACACGTGCAATTGGCAATTAAAACTTGTCATATAATAATTTGCAATAGAAAACTTGCTGTCTGTGAGAAGCTATACTACTAACACTGTGGATTATCAGTTTTTTAGCTTGCAGGACACCACGTAGGTATTTAAAACTTATATGTTTATTATAGATATCGGTCTTGATTTTTGTCAATCACCTCAAGCTTTTTAATTAGAAGATCCCGGTTGTAGTATAATTGGTTGTCAATGAAACTTTTTTAAATTTTATACACTTATGCTAAATATAGCTACGTATTTCTTTGCAGGTATAGGCAAACGCAGAAAAGCGAAAATGCTTTTACATTGTCCTGGGTTTTATTTCTCAACATTCAGAGAGGAATGCCTTATTGCTCAGGCGATGTTCTACGATCTTGATTGTTTCCGGTACTTGCTTGAACTTTACGAAAGCTTAAAATCAACGTTGGAAGAAATGCAGCCAAAGGAAAACTGGGAAAAATACCGCATCGATTCTTTAACCTTACTACCATTTCGCATAAGTGGCGTTAATGGAAATCTACTTCACTACCTGGAGGGGGAAGATGCCATTATTAAGTTAGAAATTCTAAGCAAGTCTTCCACGTTTAACCTGCTAATTAACCACAAAAATCTTCACGGTGTTACACCACTGCTTATGGCAATAATGTTTGATGAAGTGGATCTGGCAGAGAGAATGGTAGAACTGGGCGCATATATCGACAGTGAGAGTAATGATAAAGAAACGCCATTCAGTCAAGCCGTTAGTCGTGGCCATCTTGATCTGGTTAAGAAAATGCTGACGATTGGTATGTTGCATGCATGAACCAACATTTTCTGGAACTATTACTCGTACACTATAATACATGCATAAAGTAACCCCTCGCCATTTTAAGCTAAGAAAACATTGAAAAAGACTTGAGCTTGGCCTTAGTTTACATGCATATATTATTATGAAATTACTCTCTATGTAATTAATCGTATAAGAATAGAGTATCAAAATCACTGGTATCGTTTACAAAATTGGCGTCAGAGTGAAAAATAGTATGAAAAAACGAAACTGTACCACTTTGTCTAATGTCATATAGGGCCACGGGTGTACAAAAATAGACTAGCTAGCTATAATTATTATGGTTCTTTATCAGTAAAAATGATTTTCACCCTATTTGCAATATGAACATATGGATTTCTTCGTCTTCAACTAGTCATAACTTTCAATTTTCATTGTTATGTAGAAGTATTCTAATCACGGAAATGCATTTTAGGTAAGACGGAATTATTCGATACGAAGGATCATTTATACCGTAGTAAAGGTCATTCAATATTCTATCCAGCAATCTTGAGCAGCAATACGGAAATGATAAGATATATTCACGGATACATTCAAAATTCAACAGAGCATTTATCAATCGAGCTGGAGAAAGACGACAGCCATATTTTAAAAAGTCACATCGTAAGAAATAACATGGCAAACCTGCTGAATTTCCTCCTGAATCTGAAAGATAGTACAATGGAAAACACGAGTGATGAATCCATTATTTCAGGGATATTTATCAGGTTAAAAAGCTAGTATTAATATTTAGCGATTATTAGCCGAAAGCGAGGAGATTATCGGAGAATCAAGTTTTAGTATTTTTGCACAAGTGAATTGACACAAGGACGGCATTTGTTCTCTTATCGCTTTGTGAGAAATGGCCAGTCGCCATTTTGAAATTTGAAATTAAAAAGTCTATTCAGGAATAATTTAATAATAAATATGTTTTACCAGAACTGTCAGATCACTCGCAACATGTGGGAACCCAATGCTTTTGGCTTGTAGTCCGTTCTGTATGCCGTCAACATAAAGGCATAATTCTCAAAAATACGACTGAAATACTGCATGACTCTTACATTCCTAAAATTTACCTGCTTTTTCACAGAAGTATTTATTAATTTATTGTACTAGGTACAATCGTTTTATGTTACTTTAATTTAGTTTATTTTTTAAATATTATAGCGCTGTGGAAGAAAACAATCTCGATCTAACTTCAATGATTTTGAAAACGAAATTCGGATGCACGTCATTAAAGTCTGTTGACAGTTTGGACCGAGGTGTTCTCCATTATGCAGCGAAACATCCTAAACTTTTGAAATACGTGTTAAATGCAGCTGAAAATTTACTTGACAAGGTAAATTAAGGTTTCATCATGCATTCATTCGGATGTTTATACAAACTTCTGAAAATTTGCTATAGATTTTTCCATTTCCATTATCCGTGTAGAAAAACCAATTTTGTGACGTTTTGAATAAAGTTGACCAAAATAACTGTACTGCATTACACTATGCTGCTATTTCAAATGAAGGCGAGGTATGGAATTTCAGTTCAGTATTGATTTTGACAGTATGTAATATGTATATTTATAAGATTATAATATAGCTGCTCACTCTATATGCATGCATGAGATATTCTGCAATGTGATTGGTCGAGCTACTCACCTTATAATTATTATATGTTATGATATTGCGAATGATGGGCTTTTTATGATATAATGGTTTAGTAGAAAACACGGGTGCGGATAGGCGGATGCAGATAGATTCTTGCTGATATAAAGATAGAAAACATGGGAGAATCCCTGCATGCGGATAATGGTAGAAAACGCGGATAAATTGTGTTATCATCAAACAATCTTTAATTAACCGTTAAGTTAATAAGAAGGCTTATAATCAATTATTATCTACTGGGTTTGCATTGAACAACATCTATTTCGAACAACGGATTATATGGACATAAGCAAAAAAAAATAATACCGAAAAAGATGTGCTTGTTAACTCTAACTTCCTTCCCTGTCGTATTACCTTGCATGTATCTTTTTAAAGTTTCCTTAAAATTAATCATGTAATATTATATCTGCCATTTCAGTCTTTAGCTCTTTTGGCCAAATGGAGTGCTCGTTATAATTACCATGAGAAAAAATCAGAATGCGACTATATACTGTCATGCGTGTCGTGTGAAAGATGCATCGAAAAAATCTCCCTCGAAGCTATTGAATTCGCCACGAGAGAAGTACGCTCGAATTTTGATGAAAAACTTCCAGAAAAACCTACGAAGATGGTATCATTCCATGCAGCAGCTGCAAAGGGAAGAAATGATATACTGGAATATTTGTTTGAAAAGAAAGTACCAGGGAGCAAAATGTGGTACGTACTTTAAATGATAGGTTTGCTTTCATGATTAAATTGCTGCAAAAAAGCGCTAGGAAAAGAAAATTAACTGTCCTAGTTGAGTAAACGCAGACAATACGACCTGTAGACATTCCAGGCTAATGTAAATTAATATATGTATATGTAAATATGTATCTTACCACGCATATAAAAAGTTGGTAATGATGGTTTGTGTAAAAAAGGGTGTGGTATAGATTTATATTGAGAAAGTTGTAGCTTTAGCTCCTATTAAAAAGAGCTAGAAAACAAGCAGACGTAACACAAGTTTAAACGCAGTGAACTTATTATTGCAAAGCATTCCAACCACTTTCATTCAGTCGAATTATTTTGTTTAATTAAGGTCGAATTATTTTACTTACTTATTCTATTTGCCAAATTAATCAAATTTTATTTTCTTAATAAATCAATGTTAACAATTGCTCCCAAATTCACGTTTACGTTTGTTAACGTTGATTTATTTTGCATGCTTTTCCAGTGACAGCAGAGGTTGGACTGCTCTTCATTCAGCAGTGGCTTCTGGTTCATTGTCTTCGGTTAAGCTTGTCTTTCAGCGTCTTCCGTGTCTTTTGAATGTGAAAAATAGAGATGATAGTACTCCTGCAGAAATAGCAGCAATTCATGGTCATAAACAATTGTTGAACTACCTATTTGAAGTTGGAGTAAAACCATTCGATGAGTACAATGGGGTAAACTTGCTAAGGAACACAAATTGCAGTGATGATGTGTACAAAATTATCGTGGATGGGATCTTGAAAACTTGTGGCAGGGATGGACTCACAAAGGTTAGGAAGATTTATTATTATTAATCGAACTTTCTAAAATATTGAGGATAAAATCGTTGACTAGATATTTTTAAGATGATAAATCATGATAAAGCCTTTGTCGAGGCGGTTCAGGCATCATGGTCTCAAATTTGCTGGTTGTTAAGAACAATTTTTTATTTATCCACGACGAAATTAAGGACAAAAACCTTACGCATAGTGTAATATCGTTAATCAAGTAATTAAATTTAGTGATGCGGAGGATTTCCACAATTATAACAATAAAATTAATCTTATATTGTTATAACAATATAATGTTTTATTGTTATATTAATGTTACATTACCCAATATCATTATTCCTGGTGTCATAATTTTTTAATCAGATTCAATATGTTTGATTAGTAGTGTTCTTTATTTAGCAACTAACAGGGGAAATTTCAGTTATTAATGAACATAACGCTGTTTTAATTCTCTTCAGGCTATTCGCTCGGACGAAAATTTTGGTATGAATAGCTGGCGAGAATCGACTGTGGCACTGAGTTACACATGTTTTCAATGCGTATATATACGATAGTAAATCATTTGGCTACACATACGATTTTACTCCTTTAGAAGGTACGCTTCATTCTTTTTATTATTTAACTACAATTTACAATTGTTAATTTACGTCTCCCGATACATGATCAAGCATACAAAAAGTCATTTGGTGCAAGATAAAGCTACAATGCAGCTATACTTTATCAAAATGAAAGGGGTGCCCATCTCAGATCAGTCAGTGGTGCCCATGCAAGGGGTCAACAAGTAAGTTAGTGGCAGATGTAGGGTGAGCAAGAATAAATTACAGCAGCTCTAACTTTCGTCAATAGTTTCCGTCATCTCCATTTTCTCTTCATATTTAGGGCATCAAGCCTCGCATCAATATGCCAAGCTTTTGTCAGGCTTTTTTCCCCCGAGTTATTTCCCCCGACGTCATGTTGGGAGTATATAGAATCAAAGTTTCACCCATGATCATTTTTTCATTTTGGAACTTTTGATGAAAACTTAGATACTGTAGTTTAAGTTATCCGTATATTACGTTAAGGTAGATTAGCTTATTACTGATTCTTTTATATTAAACCAACAGGGTCTACAGGGAGTTATATTGCTGTCATACACTCGTTCGTTCGTCAAAAACGCCATAAATGCCTACAACATCCACTTGTTCGCGAATTTTTGCGTCAAAAGCTGAATTTTTCAGTGGGGCGAGGAACGTATTTTCTGAATGCTTTTCTTTATTTTGTCTTCCTGGTACTTCTTACAACACACGTGGGATTGTACGCACAAGGTATAATTTTAAAAATTATTAAAATGAGCGTGTTTTCCTAAATACGTCGACATTATTTCCCACTGATGGCACGCCTTATTGCAGATACTGACGCGTCTTAAACAACCCAATGCTTTCAAAATTTCAGATACCTTTAGTATGCACTCACCGGGAATGATCTTTCTTACTGTGGTGATTTTGCTGTTGTGTTCGGCAAATCTAATTAAGGAATCATTTCAGGTGTGACCAAGTTACAATTGTTTACATGCTACAGCCTTTCCACAGTTAAAATCTACACCCTTTCCACATTTAAAGTTATGTTCGTTTATTTGACTGGTTAATGAATTTGGTCACTGGCCATGCATGGAAAGCTAAAATAAATGTAGTCAAATTATTATTTATAAGGAAGGATGTTAAAGTCGATTAAATGCTGGTATTTGATTACTGCATGGTTCAGTGTGACTATGGCTTGCTTTCTACATATAATTATATACCTATAGTTGTTAACCGCTCGTTCGAAAGAGATATAGGTCATAGCACCACCTACCTTCCTCCCCTAGTTGCCAACACCCACTTCTATGCTACTGTTAACTTGGGTTGATGGAATATGTGTAAGGGTTTTGTTTATATAGGATTATTTTTAGGCGGTTCCATGTTTATCACATTCTTTCTCATTAGGAATTATGCGACGGGTAGTGTCCTAGCTTCTCGCAAGAATGATTTTTATTGCCAATACATTTATTACAATACATTTATGTTTCAACCAATAGCAATGCATAGAAAAGCATTATTCAATTGGACAAAAGCTTCCGAGGACTGCGACATGACCCTATGCGTCAAGTAGTCACATTCATTTTTTTCGTAAAATCACGAGTTTTTTGCTTTAGTTTAATCATTATATCGCGTATTATTGAAATATATCTTACAATATTGCACGAGCTCTTAATAATATAATTATATTGCCATATATGTTTTAGCTGTTAACTAACCTGCCAACTTACATAAAAGAATATGGTCTCAACAACATGCTGGAATGGATATTGTATATTTGCACTTTCGTGTTTCTCTTGCCAATTAATGAGATCAAAACCAAATCACAAATCGAGGCTGGCGCAATTTCTATTTTCCTTGCCTGGATTAATTTTATTTGGTTTTTAAAACGGCTACCAATTTTTGGTATATACGTCGTTTTAACAAAGAAAGTTTTCTTATCTTTGATAAAGGTATGGCAGACAGCGGATTTTATTCATTATCACATTTAGCATCTGTTAGCTCAGAATTACTTGCATTAGGTATATTACAATTTTTAAATTTTTTAATATAATATGGTTGATAGGTTCCATTACCAATAGAATTGTTACTCAGGAGCTTTGAATTCAACGAGGTTTGCTACCTGACTAATTAGCTAGCTGATTAACGTAAATTTCAAAATAACTGACTGCAACTGATCATATCGCGTATTTGCTAGCTGTGACATGGTATAGCGGATGGTATCCTGACGGCTCTACTTTCGCAAATTTATCATATTTGCAATGGCTTTTAAAACAAAAATTGTTTATCAAATGCCTAAGTGAAGTCACCCCTCACGTAAATTTAGTTTTTTCTTTATATTTTTGCAATGAAGTGAGAATTTTCATGTGTTAGTTTGTGTGTACAGTAAAAGTTTAGTTCGTAAAATAATGTAAAAAATTGGGCGAGAGTTGCCAACCTTATGATGATTCATATACTATGGCGTGAGCGCCTGGTATCGGTTACCTGTGTTAGTTAAAGTTGGAGAGTTTGGTTTTTAAATTTGGAAAACAGAAGAAAAGAAAGTCGTTCAAATTTTCGTTCAAATTTGTATATAAATGTCCTAACGTTTTTTGGACCTCATACCAATGTCACAATTGTACAAAATTATCGACTTCGCACGGTGAGGATTTCTCATTCTACGATTCGTAGAACAAGCTTCCTAATTTTAGTATTTTTGAGATCCTCCAATTGGCCGAGCTGTACTGCGTGTAATGTATGGGCCATTTTGAAACATCAACCATCAACCATAAATAACAAGTCTATAAGGAGTAAATCTAGTGGTTGATGACAAACGCGATTGCTAAATTGATTAGTTCAGTTTTTGTTTACCCTGTAGTTAATTGTACTTGCTGGGTCATTAGAAATATGTTATTAACTAATTTCATGCCATTATTATTCTACTCTGCTTCTTTTTTAGGTTTTGCCAGTTGTAATTCTATTTATTGTTGCTTTTGCGATGACGTTCTTGTTGCTAAGAAGCAAGGATCATGCATTTAGTACTATACCTTGGTCTGCTCTAACAACCTTGATCATGATGGGCGGAGAGATTGATTACCGTGACGTTTTTGTGGATGACCAATCGCCCGTTTATGTAATTCAATGCATGTTCCTGGTGTTGTTCTTTCTTGTTATGAGCATTGTCGTCATGAATGTGTTTGTTGGATTAGCAGTTGGGGACATCGGAGAAATGATGAGAAGAAGTGAAGAAGAGAAACGTCTTCATCGAGTAGGTTTAAAAGTCTCGGAACGGAAAGCATTAAAGTCACTCACTCTTCTTTTAAGCAGCCTAAAGTTATTATAGTTATATCTGTGTTAAAAACGTCCCCACTTCGTCCCCATTTCAGATATTCAATTTGAGCGAAAACTAAGTTGAAAATTATTTTACAAAATTATATAAAAGACATTATGGCTCGACAGAATGTGACCACTTTGGAACATCACAGTACTTGCTATTTCCTGCGTTTTGGGGTTTCCTTTTTCGGTCATTTATTAATTTTTATTCCTTCCTACTTCCATGTCCTGGGATTTGGTGGGATTCAATTTCTGCAACTACTATAAGCTACGAATACCATTTGCGTTCCTTTTTTGCAAGTAGAGTTTGTTATTTTTGTTGAGTTTCTAAATTCTAATTTTACGTTTCAGGCACGATTGTACATTGAGTTTGAAGAATCGCTATTAAAACTTCCAAAGTTTTTCAGACCTGAACAGATCAAAAGCGTCACAAATATAGAGTGGGTTCCTCAAATAGAAGAGGAAACAGACAATGACGAGATGAAGTCAGAATTGAAGATAATAAAAAATGATTTGTCAGAATTAAAAAGGGATATGGAATCAATCGCGCTTCTTCTAAAAGAGAGGAGTGAGACATACAAAGGTGACGAGGTAAAATCGTAATATTTATATTGGTGCAACTTCAAATTTTGTAGATCTGTTCCCACCTTTAAATGAACATCTTACATTTTCATTATCCTATACCAGGCCAGAAGGAATGATAATAGTATTTCTTATACTATAATGCTATACTCGTTGGGGTTTTCTTAATACGCTGTGCTACACAAAAATTAATGTGAACTTTAAATTCAATGTGTGCAACTCTTAAAAAATGTTGCTGAAAAAGTGATTTAGTTTAAACACGGAAAGCTCGCTCCAGTTCAAAGTGTGAAGCCAAGCATGGCGGATCATGAAGGCTGCTTGGGTACCGAACCAGGCCTCCACGAAGCGTAAAATGCGCAAACCGCGCGTGGAAATTCAAAACACGAATTATAAAACTTGACGAAAAATAAAAAAACTCACATTTCGGACGTTACAAAGTTTTTAAAACGACGTTTTTAAAAATGAATACATACAATTTTTACAACCTTACCTATAGCAATGTTATTCTTTCTAGAGAGGTAACTTATGCCATATAATTGTGTTGTGTTTATAAAACTAACCGAGTTCAACTCCTACACGTTGCTGCCATATTGAATTTTAACCTTTCGTGCGCGGAGGTCTGGTTCGGTACCCAAGCAGCCTTGATGATCCGCCATGTTCGGCTTCACTTTTAGATTACGCAATGTACTAGAGCGAGCCTTCCATATAATATATAGAGTTCACTGGTACACGCATACAGTGTTAAAATCAGTGGCGGATTCAGGGTTAGGTAGAATAAATTACTGCAGCTCAAAATCGGTATCGCATTGGTAGATTTTTATTTAAAAATATTCTTTAGAAATCCATGACCAATTGCGTTGTTTTTAAGGTATTTTGAATTTAGAATTAAGCCTTGTAATTTATTCTGCCTAACCCTAGATCCGCCACTGGTTAAAATGAAGAGCATACACAATTATAGTAATGTCAATTTAATATTTTTATCATTTATATTATTTTACTAAAGAGAACTGTAATCCAAAATGCAAAGCGTATTAACATAATATTTAATAAAAGTGTTTCCAAAAGGTGTAACAATAAATTTAATAGAGTGTTTGCAAAAGACTATATATATATATATATATATATATATATATATATATATATATATATATATATATATATAAATATATATATGTATATATACATATATATATATATATATATATATATATATATATATTTATTTATTTTTTAACTCTGTAAATAAAGCAATCTGATTGGCTGAGAAGCGTTTCACAGCGGGCCGGAATTTTGCATCCGGCCCGCTGTGAAAAATGCAAGCAAAACGACAAAACCAAAGCAACGTACGGCTAAAATGTGTGAAAACCTTTCTGGAAAAGGCTAAATGAGTGTTAAAAATAAAAAACATACCCGAAAAACCTCTTTTTTTGGATTTTTTACGCCTTTTTTCGCTTGTCAATACGTTGTTTTTTTAATCGATTCGCCGTGATTTAGTTGTAATGGTAACAATATTTGCCATTTCATTGGCTGTTTCCCGACTAGGATATCCTTATAAGGAGTTGTTGACGTATTAAAATTCTAAAATTGCTTGCAGAATTTAAAATTTTTATAGTTTATTCATTAAATTTGTTGTATTTTTTGTGTTTAATAAAGTCAAAAAAGTCAAGGTTAAAAATTAAAAAAATTTCGAGACCTCGCAGCCGGTAAATAACATATATATATATATATATATATATATATATATATATATATATATATATATATATATATATGTATAGGTTATCACGTGAGGGGGGAGGTGATATCAGTTTTATCGCTTGAGGGACGATATCATAAATGTCACGAGTGAGCGCAGCGAACGAGGGACATTTATGATATCGTCCTGAAAGCGATAAAACTGATATCACCTCGTCTCGATTGTGATAACCTGTTTATCACATACTTCTTTTTGATCTATAAAGCAATCGACATTGACTGAAACAAACCTCGAACTGCTCGAGTCAGCCATCTTTGTTTTGACAGCGGCAAATGCAGCGGGACAAAAAGCGATATCAGTGACAAAAAGCGATATCAGTAACGATATCGTTTTTATGTCACCCTGTTATCGCCCTGATAAAGGCACAAGTATGTGATAAATATATATATTAATTATATATATATACCAATTATTAACCGAATTTGAGGTCCATACCATAGAAAAATATCAGCCCGAGGTCTTGACAGTACGGACCGAGCGATGTCAAGGTCCGTACATAAAAGACCGAGGTCTGATATTTTTTCAGCATGGACAGAACGTATTCGGTTAATAAGGGATTTATTATATGGCATACAGTATTTAGTTTATTTATTTATACAATGCGCTGCAGCATTCTTGCTGACTCTTTCACCAGCCAGTCGCCAAGCATACACGTGCACTGAAGTGGCTTTCAAAACTTTGTTTTTTACTCGTTAAATAAGAATGTTACAGTAATATAAACAAAAATCAAAGATGAATGAATATAATATTCCCATGTACCAAATAATGCTCTTATTCGTCCATTATCTGGCGATATTTTTCGTGTCAAAAAGTAAAAGTGCAAGCTTGTTTTTGTTCACAAAAATGAGAGTTGGACCGTTACTACAGCAACGGTCTAATACTGGGGGATTCCAGGCTGGCAAAGAATCAATCAGCGCACGCCATTTTAGTCACAAGACCGCGTGCCATAAAGAAAATCCGAATAACTGAACACAAGAACGCTACAAAACGACACGACCATGAATCCCTACCCGCGCTACACAAATACGACGACTTTCACACCTTCGCCTGGACAAAAACTGAAATATTGGGACGAGCACAAACAAACACTCGCGTGAATTCAAAGAAGATTGCTTTAGTACAGATGATAATACTATTAACAGACATATCGACATTCCTGCAACTATCTGCAACAGTCTGTCTGCAACTTAAGACAAAAAGGAGGGACTCTATCAATAATAACATTAATATAACTTATAATTATAATAAAAACTTCAATCCGCTTATATCTGCTCATAGCTGCTCATGACCAGAGCGAAAAAGATGGCCGCATGTACATTTGACCCGAATGCATTGCAGGCATCAAGAATAAATAACACAAAAAAGATGGTAAGAAAAGCACTTAAAGACATAGAAATTTATCACAATGAGGAAAATAATTCCTCGTGTTCAACTCGCTTTTTTAAGGATTTTCCACCGCAATGCATTCTAGTTTAATGTACATCCGCTATCTTTTTCTTTATGGTCAGTTGCTTAATTTCCACGAAGAAGAAGGCATTGTAATTCTGACTGGCGTGGTGTCCCGCGTGGTTTTGCATACCATTCGATTTTAAACTTTGACGCCATCTTGGATGGACTATGTCTCACGCCTCGATCTCGTGTGTGACGTACTCGATTTTGGAATCGTATTACTGTACAATGTCAAATTCTTATGGATGCGACCACTCGAGTTTTGCTATTTATGAACTTTAACTCTAGCACAAGTTGTTCAAATTTTGTTCTACTGTCTTTCTGCAATCGTATGTCAATTTGTCTCGTTTATTCTTAAAGTGCCTATATCACTTGTGGGATCTTAACGGATTTGAATAGGGCTTGAAAAATTTGTTTATAAGTTCTACAACCTTTTTTGATAAAATTAAATAGTTTCGAAAATACGTCGGTTAGGGGGACTGGGACTCAGGAATGATTTGCAAACACGCCGTCTTTTATAATGTAAACATGAAGGGTTTCAATGGCGATATAGTTTGCTTTTTTCAAGAAAAAAATGCAGGAACGGTGCGTTGTGTATAGTTGTAGCATCTGGGCGAGTTTTTCTCAAAATATTTTACGTTATTAGAAGATCGAAGTAAAATTACAATTGATCAGATTATGTTTGACAAGAACTCGGTTCCTGAGTCCCAGGCCCTCGAGCACGACGGAAATTTAAGCAAATCGTCATGTTTAGATGTAAATATTTCCGAAACTATTTAACTATATCGAAAAGGGTTGTAGAGCTTATAAACTAATTTTTCAAGCTCTATTCAAATCCGTAAAGATCCCAAAAGTGATATAGGCACTTTAAATTCATTGTCACTGCTAATTGCCATAATTATGCACTAGACTAGAGTGTGCATATTTCGCCGTATATTAGCAAGAAAATGTCCATAGAAAATTTACAGTACAAAAATCATTTGGTATTAAAAAACAGAACGCACTTGCCTAAAATTTGATTGCTGCTAGTCTAGTTACGCCCACATAGTACAAAAGTATACAAAATTTGCCAACTTAAGCTTCGCATGGCTATATAGCCTATATTTTTCTTCTTTTACAAATTTTCGCAACTAAACTTTGAATAAATAGCCGGAATTTAATCGTGGAAAAATACTGCGTAAATCAATTCAAGTTTATATGTATAGATCGAACGGCAACGATTCCGGACAAAGAAAAGGAGTCAACCACGGAGTAAAATTAATAAAAAGGTGTTAAAAGATACCACAAATGAAAACTGCGAAATTATTCCTAGTTAAAATTGCGGCTTTAATTATCTATAATTTGACTGTGTTTAGTAGGTTTCTCGCTGCTAAGGAAACAGAAAATGTGCCTTTAGATAATTTGTTCCAGATGTTTGCGTTAGGAAATTAAAACGATCCTCGAATGCATTCAACCCTGCTTGGTTATTTAATGACATATAAAGCCGGAGACCAGTTTTGGCAAACAAAAAATCTCCGAACCTTTTCACGACACAATAAGCAAATAATAAAAAATCTCCGAAAGCCAGATGACACGTTAGGAAACTTTGTGTCAAAGAGTTGACCGCGTAGTGTGTCAGTCTTGAATTATTAATTCATGTCATGCAGTGCCTAATCACGCCTGCACTGAAGCACTTTGCACGCACGCACATCACTCTTGATAAATATGCACGACTTACACGTATTACTATAGAATTGCGAGGACCAAATTGGGATTACAAGAGATTCTGCAAGAAGGCGAGAAAAGCAACTCAGTTTACACTGATTGCAGCAAGAAATTTGAACATCAGGGCAAATTTGTAGATATATATAGCCAAATATCCCCGCATGTTTTTCCCTTGGCCTGATATCGAAACAGATGCTTCAAAGACAACAACCTTTATCGCCATCCCGCTTCGATATCGCTTTTATGTATGTACGCTATATTTTGACTGTGGTGTTTTACGCAGAGAGAGCTGGGATGCCTTTTGACTTTAGAAGATCAATGAAAAATTCTATTGTGCACAAAAAAAGAACATATCCGGCTCTTTGGGTGCCAACATTTTAGACGCAAAGATCGAAGCGACGACGCCACTTGATAATAACTGATAATCGGCAGCGTCCTCAACAACGTGACTTCGAGTCTAGATATCATAATTATTAATATCCGTTTAGTGAGACAGTAAAAGAAATAACCACAGCTTATCGCAACCGCTCTGCGCCTTTGATTTGCATAATTATTGTACGCTCCTGCATAATATATATATATATTCAGGACGGTTTTCAGGATATGAATATATATAGAAAACATATAATAATTCTCATATAGTGTGCGATCGATCCGGCTATATATATATAAGATGGTTTAATTTTTTAAATAAGTTTGGATGCAAACAATGTTTATAGAGGTTTTGTCATGCACGCTGTATGCAATTATTCCTGGCAAGATATGATCGATGGCGGGAGGTTTTAGCATGAACACTAAAACTCAAAAAAATGACAAGTTTGAATGAGCAAATGCATAATGACTATTAGATAAATTATTTAGTAGCTAATTAGACATGTCAGTTTAATTAATCACCTGCATGCTTTTAGTATACTGATGATAGACGAACACAACTTGCCCATACAAGCTATAGCAGAGAACTGGAGATACCGTATATTGAATGTTGCATTATACCGTAAGTTGCATATACTGTTT